AATACATTAATAAGGATTGATAAAATTTTGAATATTCCAGTGAAATTAAAACAATCCCTATTGACTATTAAATATAGTACTTCTGATGATATCCATCATACTCAAGAGCTTGGAGAACTGTTTATATCAAAAGTACTGATTACTGAAAATAAGCAAATGCTGACAAAGGGGAAATTTACCTTGACAAATTTGGAATCAATTGAAAGTTTGTTCAGTGATTTACATCCTAATATTCATAAGAATTTAGCTGAACAGAGAAGTGACAAATACTTAACTTTATATGGAGAAGGTTTAATGACTATAGAAATCTTCAAAATTACATTTCCTAACTTAAGAATTAATAAATCTTTAGGCAGGTTCTTAATAAAATCACCGAGTAATGGATTTAAAAAAGAATCATTGTCAGAACCATCAATATTAAGTTCAATATTCCCTAAAGGTTTACTAATAACTAGTCCACGATTGAGAAATTTAAATGATGAAATAAGCATGGATTTTAGTATAGAGTTTAATGTACCCTCAATTTTAATTAATAATTCTATCAATAGAATACCAACTACAAGACCTGAAGATGAAGCGGATACCCTAGCTATAACCAGTCAACTAAATAATTCAGACAATATTGAACATATTCGACTTCCTTCAGTTAAAATGGAAAATATTGGAAATATAAGATTCAAAATTTTCCTGGATAATTTTATAATTGGATATACTACTTGGCACAACGTGAAAATAAACCCAGGATACAATTTTAGTAGTTGGTCTATCAAGCTATCTAAAACTATAAATAAAAAGCTGAAGGAGATATTGAAAAATATAATTATACGTGGACCAAATTCACCTACACAATACATTAGGATAAAGGGACATAGTGCAGATAATGAGGCAATGGATATTGTGATCAAAAGAGTTGAAGTAATGATTGAGCTTAACAAAATATTAGCTATGATTCATCCTGGAATTAGTGAGTTATCTGGAAATTTAAATAATTCCATTGATAAGATAATCAACACAATCAAATTGAAACAAGTGCAATTAATCAAAGATGTGAATCTACCAACTATTACTGGAAAAATTCAAATTAAGTATCTGAATCCAGTAGGCGATGCTCTACTATTCAGGTTAAATAATTTAATGTTAATATCTGAAATTCAAGATGAAGAAAATTACAAATTTGGCACAATATTCATTAAACTAGATAACTCAGAAACTACAGAAATCAACCAACTAAATCAAAGTACTAATATATTGCTTTTGTCAAACTTTACTGAACAATTTGTAGCTAAAAGCTTAAAGTTGGATCATGAAGGCAGATTAGAAAGGTTATTAGAACAAAAACTTGATAATTATACTCATGTAAATGTATCTAAAGAGAAAAAAGATATAAAGAAATGTACTAATAAGAATAAAGAAGCAAAAAGCTTACAGGAAGTGGAAATAGAACCATGCATACAGTTTCAAGAATTAAATATTATCATTAGTATTAGTACAGAGAATATTGAGAGTAAAATGAAGATACTTTGGTTAAATAAATTGTTAAGAACTCTACTTGAGTCAAGAAATATATGGCTTTTGACTCCATTACTAAGTTTTGACATCTTGACAATATTTGGAAATTTAGATATAAATGACTTGAAACTACCACGTCGACTTGTTAAAGTGCCATTCGATAATAGTAAAGATTTAGATAAAGATGATTACAAACTTGATGAATATTATCATGAGGATTCGGAGGTAAGGATAGCAAGTCATGATGAAGTTAGTAGTTTAGCAGATATTATTAAAATTAGCGATATACAAATATTAGGAGAAGGTTTTAATGATAGCTGGTTAATAAAAGTAATTATAAAAAGTGACATAATGAAAGCAATTAGTATAGATGAAATTGATGTTGGACCTCTAGGAATACATATATCTTATAAACAGAATATCATAGGTTTTATTGGTGCAAACAGATTTTCTTTAGGAGGAAAAGAAAATTTACCAATATGGGGTGTGTTAAAGCCGAAAAAAGAAGTAAATAGTGAGAATATTAGTCGAGATATTGAAAAGCTTTTGATCTCATTAATAGTAAATTCAAAAAAGGATATAAATAAAGATGACTATATAACAGTGAAATTAATTACTGGTACTTCCATTGTCGATTATTGTATGAAATATTTCAATTACCCAAATTTTATTGGTGAAAGAGAAGTAGAAATGTGGTTAAATAAAAAGGTGGATTTTAGTATTGATAGATCGAATATTACTGAACATAAGAATTGGATCAGTCATTTATTGAATGGCCAAATTTTGAATATTCCATTTGGAAATACTATCAAAAATTCATCAATATTTAATTTAAAAAATAAACTTAGTAACATACCTTCTAAAGACAAAAACCAAGCCTTGGATAATGTTTTATGTAGTATTAGATCAATTTTATTTCCAAAGCCGCAGAGTGAAACAAGATCAGTTAGTAAACTGAGTAGCCATTCAAACTTGGACTTTAAAATACAGAATGCAGAATTTTATATATATATGAATAAGAGAGAAAATGATCTAGAAATACCTTTCGAAGGTACATTTGACTTATCAATTCCTAATATTATCTCAGAAAACATATTCATAAATGTCCTTTCATTGTCATATAATATTCAAATATCAATAAAAGAAACAGGCGAGAAATTCATTGAATTTAGTAATACAAACAAATTTTCTGAGAAGTTCAAAATTCAGCTTTCAGAGCCTTCATCAAATCCCAACAAGAACTTAATAGAATGGCCAGCAACAAAAGTAATAAACTTGCATCTTGATATTAAAGCTTCAAGTATAAAATTAATAGATAAATCAGATCAGTGGACAAATTTCGTGAATACAATATTTGGAATTCCTTCAGTTTTATTGAAAAAACCTATTAAAAGTATTGAAATAAATACTTTATTGTCCTTAAAAGTTGAGACATCATTAGGAGTTTGGAATTTATCAAATGTGAGTATTTCAATAACTAAAAATCTTCCAGAATGTACCAATAAGAATGAAATCAATATAAATATTAATCCAAATAAATCTGTGCCAGGAAGATCTTCATTAGATTTATTTTCAGTAGATTCAATACAAATACAAAGGATACGTCTAATTCTACCACCTAGAGGTGCTGATATACAGTTAAAAACATCTATAACCTTACCTAAGTATTTTAAAGATATATCTATAGACATAATTATGGGCCAGTGTATTTTTGAAATTAGCACAGAACAAGAAAGATTACTTGCAATAGTAAAAACTCCGAAGCAGATGTTAATTGGAAGCAATAGAACAACACAAGCAGTATGTAATGGTTTTATACCAGCTAAATCATGGTTAGCAGTTATGAATTTATTGAGCAATGATCAATCTAACAATACTGCAAATTTATATATAAAGGCTATAAACACACCACATGGTATTCCATATTGGTTAGTTCAAATACTTAGCTACGTTAAACTACCAATTTCAAATACTCTTCACTTGATGGATACTACTGAATATAATTCTATTACATTTGGCTAAAATTGCAATAATCCGAAACACCTCACATCTCAATAAAGCTCAAGCGCCCAATGAAAATGAAAATACTAATACAAAAGTTGCAGATAAGTAACAAATTTATAGATGACCTTATTATTAGGTTCCGAAAGATATAGTATTTAAAAATTAATATTCTTGATTAATTACTAATAATAATGGGTGATATATTATTAGCAGAGTTCCATGGGTATTTTGATGAGAAGAATGCTGAAATACTGAAACTAAGCATACACTATATCAAAAGCTTAGAGTCATGCATTACAAACCTAGCCCTAAATAAGGGAATACCAAAAAATTTTTCTCATTTTAGGGATATAATAGAAGTGATAAGGATTTGTTCAGTCCATGGTATTTTGATAAGAGATAGTTACAAAGAAAATAGAAGTTCAATGTTTCATTTTGTAAAAATATTTCCCGAAATTGAAGACTTAAAAGAAGTGGATGACATGTGCTTTTTAGCTTTTCTTGTGATGAACAAAGTATTCTCAACTTTTCTTGATTCCTTACAAAGTCCAACAACATTTTGGCACCAAAGAGTTGCGAAGTACTTTCATCAATCTAGCATATTAAGGTACCCCCACTTGCTCAAACAATTTACTCAAATAGCTCATTTTTTTGAAATAAATTTAAATTTAAAAACATTTCATATACCGAACTGCTGGTTAACTTACTTCGCAAAATTATCTTTAAGGTGGAATTCATATGGTAGCAATGGAATAGATGCTCCAATAAGAGATTATTCAAACTTAGCAAAACATTCATTAGATTCTGGTTTAGTTAGTTTAACTCCTTCTCTACTTCATTTACTCAGGTCAGAAGAAAATTTAATTTTAAAAAATTCTTTTGATAATGAACAATATGACAAGTCTCCTGAAGAGGAGTACTCAGGAACTATGGTAGTTAATCATAGTGAAATTACAAATGAAAACTTGGAAAAAATCCATGAAGATTACCAAAGTAAAAAACATTCATACTTCTCACACAGCTTCAATTCTGATTCATGTAGTATTAATAAGGATGATAGTGATAATGAAACTAAAGTAAAGGAATTAGAAGAATTATTAGAAAATTTGTGGCAACCACTTCTATATCTTCCTTCAGAATTAGATATGAGATTTCTTCAAAAATCAAATAAGTCTAAAAATGGGGATTTTAACTCTTCAAAAAATAGATATAAATCTATTGTACTATCTCAATTAGTGACACCTAAAAGGTATTCTACTATTAGAAATAAAAGAACTCCTTATGTTTCTGATGAGGAACCAGATCAACAAAGTATTAATCAATCACCAAATTTTGATGATGATTTAAATCATATCAATAGTGGAACTAAAATTTATGAATCACCTAATTTAATTAAGCTAGTCCCCATAAGTTATATACCGGATAATAAAGAATGGTATCTTCGATACTACACAATTCCACTTGATAAAACTGAAGAAAGCTCAGTATTAAATCTTCAAGATTATAAATGTTGTGACAAAAAATGTCGCTTTAAGCTAGATCTAGGAAAACTTCATTTTTGTTGCTTCACTGGTTTTTACTATTGTTCCAATTGTTATGGTGACAATCAAACTTGTATAATACCAGGATTACTTGCAAAATTTGGGAGCTTTACCCCACTACCTGTTGCTGCAAATTCGTTAAGGCAACTAAAAAGTTTGGAAAGTAAACCACTTATTAATGTGAATATGCTTACAGCAGATATCTGGATAACTAATCAGCTGATAAAGAAGCTTGTTTATGCAAGGAGATATTTATTACAATTGTGGTTGGACAGTGAATCAGCAGACCAGCTCTATAGATACATGAAAAATGGAAAAGATCATTTTACATTTTTAAGAGATCATCCTAATTCCACAGAAAGTCAAAATCAATTTGAAAAGCAGTTAACAAATATATCCACTTTAAAAGCTTATAGAAAGGAAAATTGTACAATTAGAGAGAACAATAAAGAAACTCATGAAAACTGTTCAAAACAGGATGCATTTTATAATACACTAGTAGATGTAAAGAGTGATATACCAAAAAAAAAGTGTCAGTATAAAGAGTCAATAAAGAGAAGATTACAACGAGAATATGGTATGAATGGATTGGCTGATCATACTGACTACTTTTCTGTTCTTCAGCTAATACAAATAGGTTTTGAGTCATTTTCACAAGAAATAACTATGAATAGTAGTGATGCAAAGTTTCACACTTATGTCGACGATTTGACTAAATTATGTATTAACTGGTCTGATCACCAATCAAAGTGTTTATTATGTAATCATAAAAGATATCTTAATTCTTAATTAGTTTTTTTTAATAGTTTAAAATAATTATAAGAAATGTTTATTAGTTTTCGTATCTAATAATAAAATGCATAAGTGCATTTTTTTTTTTTTTTTTGCAAGTAGTTGTATGTCTACTGAATATCATATCTTATTTATTTCATCTATATTTCCTGTATAAAAGTTTAATTATTCATACTTATACTTTTTTAGTATATGGAAATGACCGCTACTAGTATCCTAAATTCTAGAAAATATAGAAATATATAAGCTCTTATTAAATGACAAAGGGGGGTGCAATAAAAAGAGCTTGGAGGGAAAGGCTACTTGTATTCAACAATAAATTTGAAAATAAGGCAAGTCATATATTTTGAATATTATTCTTGTCTCATAATAAAAGCTGTTATTTCATTATAATAAAAGAATATTAGTAGAGACTTATATTAAAAAGTTTAAAGTATAAATTATATTACCAGATTATTGATTCAACTTATTTTATGTGGTGCTATCCTCAAATTCCAAATTTTTATAGATTAAAAAGTAATCAAACAATTTGTAGTACTAAAATTCATAAAAGAGCATTACTAATTTCAGGAGAAGTGAAAAACTTAAAAGGTTGTACTAATGATATACTAGAATATACACTTATCTTATCAAGGGTATATGGTTTTAAAGAAATCAGAATATTACAAACAAGTACATCAGAAAGAATTTATGGGAACTTTGCATATTCAATATTAAATCAAATTGAAGGAGTTGTTATCCACATTAATACTCTAACAAGAAACTCATTTTTAGAAGCATTTCAATGGTTGGCATCAGGGAACGAATTACCTTATATATATGATTCTTATATATATTCAAATACTAATATACAAGATAAATTCTCAAATAATTTATATTATGCTAGTGAATTGGCATTTGTATACTCTGGGTATACTACTTTTGTAACCTTATCTGCAGCTAAAAATTTGGATGAAAACTTTCATATTGAGAATGTTGAAAATGACAATTTTGTGAACTTTGGAGAAGATAATAAAAAACCCTGTTTTTATATAGAAGATGGTGAAATAGTTTTGTTTGATGAACTCGAATGTATTCTTTCACTTAATATTCAACAACCAGCATCTATTACCTGTTTTCTTGATTGTAACTTTGGTCACTACTTTCTTTCAAAATATACTGCAAATAATAAAACTACTCCAAATTGCAACAAAAACAAAATATTAACACATCATCGTATCTCTACTTCGCCTGTCTTGAATTTTATATCAAATAAAAATCCAAGTTATAATTCTTTACAGGTAAATCCTCATTTTTATGTCATGGATAGAAATATATATGAAAAACATCACAATCCAGTTGAGGTTTCTAATCATCAAATTAATACTAATCAAAAAGGTCATGAGAATATCAAATATATACAACCTCAGATTATACAAGAAAATATTCAAGATAGAATGACATATAAAATCAATCAAATCTTGACAGTTGTCATTTTTGCTGCTTGTAGCTCATCACAAACTGCTCAAGAAATGACATTATGTTCTCCAAATGGATTTAATTTATCAATTATCCATAGAGGATTATTTTCTTATTGTTTTCATTCATTTATTAGATCATTTATGATATATAGAAATTCAAACTATTTAACATATCCACCAAGGGTTCAAGCTACAAATATAACCTTATATATGATATATGAAAGATTATGCAGTATGGTTAATTCAGTAGTCAATACTAAAAAGTCTGAATTAATATTACAAACACCTATTTTACTAACATCACCAAATATAACACCACATAATACCAAAATATTTCAGACATGCATGTTACGTAATACAAATTATTTTGGTTTTATGAAACGAAATGTTAATAATATAACCAAATGTTCTCCATCTAACCTTATATATTGCATGCCTACTCCTCAAAACCTCTCAAATAGTGAAAATTATTCAAATAGTGCCTCATATAATTCTACACCATCTACCACTCACTCATGGAATTCAATAGATACATCTAGAAATAGATTTTATAATAATATAGGTCAAAATAATTCACAAGATATGTTAAAACAAGAGATTAAACAGCTTAGAGCGGAATTACAGTTTTTGAAAAGTACAATACAAGCAAATACAAATACAAATTCTGAGATCTGTAATGAATCTAATATACAAGAAAATAGTCCAAATTCTTTGGATACTGAAATCCGGAATCAAGTATTTTCACATTTCCGTACATTTTCAGCTAGACAATAAAAAAACTAAAAATTATATTAAAAATTATTAGAACTTTAATATATTGTAACAAAAACCAAAATAACACTAAACCTTGATTCTCAGATATCTCCTTCAAATAAAATAAAATATACCTTGATTACCGCCGAATAATTTTCTGTCAGAGCCCCACTAGGGTATTCACTATTGGCATGTGTTTTATTGCCACTTCTTAATATGCAAAGAGAAAATGATAGGGCACATTATGTATACAGCTATGACCAAGGTAACTTTGCATATAGATGTCAAAGTGGTAGAGTGAATTATAATATGGAAACTCCTAGAAATTATGAGAGAGCATCCAGAATAGGCCCAAACTCAAATATATATTGTCAAGTGAAGAATGGTATAGCCAGTAAACCTATAAAATCAATAGATATAAATAATAATTATAAGGAACTAAAAGAATATAATTGGAAGCATATTACATCTAACACTTTTTATGGAGACCCTGGACCTCACTTAGCAAATATATACTCAGTTCCAGAAGATCTCATTAGGTACTATGAAATTTATGATGGAATAAGTGGAGTATTAGGACGTGGAGCTTATTCAAGTGTATTTAAGATAAGAAGTAGAAGGAGTGGTCAAATATATGCACTGAAGGTAATGAGTATAGAACACTTTACATGTAGAGGACTTGGCAACCAACTCAAAAGAGAAGTAGATTTACAGTCTATGTGCTGCCACTCAAATATTGTAAAGCTATATAGACATTATGAGAAAGATAGATATATATTCCTTATTCTAGAATTTGTTGAAACAAATTTATTTAATATTATTCATTATAATAAATATAAAAGAAAGAACTTTAAAAGTGGTTCATATAAATCCCCAAATAGAATAAGATATGGAGAATGTTTAACTAAAAAATTGGATGAGGAATGCCAATTACTTTCTACAAGTGAAATAATTCACTATATTACTCAGCTTCTAAAAGGTATAAATTATTTACATAGTAGAAATATAATTCATAGGGATATAAAGCCTGAGAATATTTTATTAACTTCAGATAATATTGTAAAGATAGGAGATTTTGGATGGTGTGGAGATTTAAATAGAAGTTGTTCTTCTATTGCTGGCACATTTTGTTATATGGCACCAGAAATTCTTAAAGGTCAGTGTCAAACTTCAAAAGTAGATTGTTGGAGTATTGGCATTGTATTATATGAATTATTAGTTGGCAAAGTTCCATTCCCACAACCTTATGTAGGGGATGATCACAATAATAGTTGCATGACAACAATTATGTTGAATTCAATAAGAGATTTACATTATATCCCAAAACCAAGTAATGTATCGTATGATGCTTGGGATCTTTGCTGTTGGTTATTAAGATATTATCCAAGTGAAAGAGCTTCTGCAGCAGAGGCTTTAAATCATCCATATTTGAAGAATTCAAGTTATGAAGTGTGGAATTCCAGCATACCCATAGACAAAAAAATATCATTTAACTTGCGAAATTGTCAAGGTGATTACATTTCACAAAGAATTCATCCAAAAATTTCACAGAATTATCGAGATATTTCTAACTGTAAACTAGGAAATAATCAATATACAAAGATTCACGATATTTCTTCACCAGCTTTACCAATAGTGGCAGTACCTACCCCTAAGAATACTTCTAAAAATTCAGTAACACCTAAAAATAGACAAGTTAGTCGAATGGTTTCTGAGACTCCAATATATTATGATAATTTTTATAACACAAATGAAGCAAGAAATACACAGAGATATTATCAAGTGTCAAATTTACATAAAGATATTGAATATAAGAAGATACAAAACTTTAAAGACATTCCAACTACAGAGACAGTTAGATTAGGAATATCCCCAACTTTAATATATCCAAAAATATCTCCTGTTTTAGATGTAAAAAATCTACCTAATAGATATGTGAGTCAACCTCCACCAATAAATCGAACTCCAAATAATAGTATTAACCACACAAACTATTATATGATTAATAGATCTTCTAATTTCGATGGGAATTTATACCGACAATATAAATATTAAGTCCCAAGTTTCTCAATCTATATAAAGAGAATATTTCAATTTACTCTAGATAATTCATGAATAATATATGCTATAGAATACTAAAGATTAGTACTAAGGCAATGAATTGTGTGTACACAAAAGTACACTAGGTTTTACATATACATACTGTTGATACCGAAATTATGAATACTTAGAACTTGAGTCCACCTTGTCTTATACACTAATAGAAGGAATTTAACTATATAAATTAAACTAGCACATCGTAGAATGTACAAATTCAGATAAGTTATTGCGGTTACCAACTTATTTTCAAGATCAGCTATCAGTAAATAGAATTTCAACTTGAATGATATAATATATCAAGTGTTTTAAGTATTCAAAACAATAAAACAGTGAATAGCGTGTGTATAGAGTTATGTAAAGATTAAAATCTTAACTGTATATACACGATTAGTGATAGTAAAGCTACATTACAAATTATTCTCTTAAAACTCAGAACCATCATTTGCCTGCAGTATATCTATATCCACGATCACCAAAACTACTACTTCTTTCACTATAGCTACTTCTTTCAATAGGTCTATTATCCCTATCAGAAATGTGGTGATATTTCTCAGAAGATTGTATGTTATTTCCATTATAACTTGTTCTGTATTGATAGGAATGTGGTACTGACTCCTCATTGGTTTGTTTCTGCCTTACCATTAATTGTTTATATTTTTTATAATCTTCCAAATAGAAATTTCTTTTAAAAAATCCATCAGTCTTCCACCAGTTTAAGAGCTTCCTTAAAGTACTTTCTGTCTTCCTCCATAACTGAAAACCCTTGTTGTTAACGTATATTCCGTCTTCAAAGTGTATTCTAGCTCCACTAGGGCCTACTCTATTATTTGGAGGTACTGATACCAAATGAAATCTACAAGGAATTTGTTTATCCATTACTATACCCCAAACTATTGAATTTCCGCTACGAGTAGATTCTAGGAGTAATTCTGTTACCATATTCTGATATTCCATGTTTCTCCTATACTTAGAGTGGTTATATACATCATTTAAGTGTATTTTCAGTGGATGAACATATTGTATCAAAATCTGATCTATATCATTATACTCAGTATTATCAATTTTAAGTTTCCTCCCCAATTCCCCTGGAAGTCTTTGGTTATACTCCTCAATAGTAGTAATCTTGCACATGAATGGTTTGTCACTAACTTTTATGTACATGTTCAATTTATCAACTGCTGTATTAGAAGGTCTTATAATAGTTTCTCCCATTACAATAGATTCATTTTCTAAATACTCAATAATTCTCTCGTGACTCCAACTTCTATAATTTGGATGATGAATAGTTCTATGTATTGCATGTGAGGAAGTGTTTAGTTTAGAACTTCCATATATATCCAGAGCATCTCCTTTATAAATAACAGATTTAGAGTTTCTTACATTTCTAGAATAGTTATTAAAAATAAGATTATAATTTTTCTTAAATAGTATGAAAGCAAAGTGACGAATATCTGACCATAACAAAGATGAACATGAGTCCTGAGAGAATATTGAACTTGATGAATTTTGAGTATAATGTTTTGCATTATCCTGATAATATTGCTGACTTCTCCATAATTGATCTAATGAATAATTCAAAATATCACAAATTTTCTTCTGAGACAGAACTACATATATACAGTGCTGATTTTGATCTAAATTTGAGACGATTCCTAAAATGGGGCTATTTATTACAAACAAAGATTCTAAAGCTGCCAATTTTATACTTGGATTTTCATCCAATATTTCATTCCAAAACATATCAAAGTCTTCAACGACAATTTTTAAGTTGTACTGATCATGCCAAAACATTACTGGACATTTATATGAATTGAAACGTGAGCCTGTACCCTTATGCAATATACCTGTAACTCTACAGCTAATCTCACACCCAACATATAAGTCCTCATCTGAAATATTCATAATTTCTCTATGTTGCCTGTACTTCTCAACTCCTCTAAACTCACGTGTATACAAGGTAATATCATATGGTCTTTGTAGCTCTTTTTGAATTCTATTTAGATAAGGTAATAGCCTAGGTTTATCTTGATTCTCATACATCAACTTCGCATATGCCTCCATATCTAAAACTTCTAGTTTCGAGTTCCTCTCTCTAATCCAATCCCAAGATAATAAGTGGTCGCTTGAGCTAGCCTTTCCATTTCTTGTTTTAGAATCATTTTGATCCTGAATATTGCCTAAAATTGTCGTCACTAATTCCTTATCTTCTAATTCATGCAATCTACTTATATCGAAGATATTCATATTTTGCAAGTTTCGATCTTCATAACCTTTTATAGAAATTCTTGATTTATTACTTAATTTACGTTCTAAATTTGAATCAGAAGAATTTCTTAATGCATTAAATCCATAGTCATGATCATCTATTCTTAGAAATGTTAGAGAATTGAACAGTACATTGCGAGATAGACAACCAACTGATCTGCGAGATCTATCCAGGTAATCATTATCATATTCATCTAATAGCTTTGTGTTTCTGCTGTCAAAAGTCTCATCTTCATCATTTAGCTGAAGTTGCATCCTGTTTGTAATACTACTTGAATTTGAATCTAGATAATGAATTAAAATCCTGGCTTTCCTAATCCCAAAGCCACCTACAAATTTCAAAGGCGACTGTAAATGATCGTGACCTTTAATACGATTAATTTGGACACCTATATTTGCTACAGCCAACCTTATTGCCAACAGTAAGTGAAATTGTAGTAGTTTTATGTCCACTTTATTTTGGAAACGATGTAACCTCAAGCTCAAAGTATTATTAAATCTACTTTGTAGCCCACCTGTGTTCACTATAGAGGTAGAAGTACCTTTTAATTCAGATGTGCTAGCTAACTCATGTTCAACTTCATTGCATGAATCGTCCCAAAGTTGCAACTGCTCTGCAAGTGGATTTTGAATTAACCTTCCTACTGATATAGCCATCAGTAAAGCTGTTGGGTATTCATCTTTATTCTTATTTCCAGGTCCTGATTCAGATTTGATGCCTTTAGAACTTTTAGTTAAGGCTCTAGGGACATCCATAGATATCATCAAAACCTGTGGAACATGACTTCGTTTCTGATATCTACTTATTTTGGTTAATATCTCATTATTCCAAATATTGCTCAACTCCAAAGCTCTCTTATCAGATAATCCAATACCTATATAGTGTGGGTAATATATTTTTGTAAACTCAACCAGATTCTTTATTTCTTCTTCACGCCTTTGTAAGTCTGCACCTACCTCAAAATTTCTATTATTAAGCAAACTAGATGTACTTTTCCCAGGACCTTGTACAGAAAATAGGAAATTTAAAATTAGGTAATCTCTCATCTCACCATGTATATCTAGAACCACAATATAAGTTCGGTAACCGTTCTTAGCCTTATCTATAACACAGGAAATAACTTCTAAACCCCATGTATCAGGAATAGCATTTTCATGTAATCTATATTTTCTACGGATTCTTGATACTTTAGAAAGTTCACTGTGATCGTATTTATCACCATTATTATTATTATTATTATTATTATTATTATTATTATTATTATTATTATTATTATTATTATTATTATTGTCATTATTATCATCATTATTATCATCATCATCATCATCATCATCATCATCATCGTCATCATCATTGTCATCATTATAATTCCCTTGCTTCTTAGGATCACTTATTGTTACAGGACGCCTTGGAGCTATAAAGTTCAGCCTCTTTGATAAGTTATGGTAACATAGTTCAGCAATATACTCATCAGCTCTACTCTTCAAGAGTTCTATTGTATGTTGTCTAAATACTGGGAAGAGCTCCTTTTCTACTAAACGATGCAATATAGGAATCTGAATCAATCTACTCCAAATACTCCCTGAAATACTTACAAAACCATACTTCAGCTCATCTAATAAGGTTCCAATTATTCTATTATCTATATTATCACTGCTTCTAAAAGAACAAAATTCCTGTTCGAACCTACTTAATATTGGACTTGGGAGAGGTGTCTTTGACGAGTTGCTTTGAATTAAATAATTTTCACCAGAAAGAAGTGGGACTTCATGCATAAATCTCTCCTTCATCTTGTCCTCACCATCCTCCCCTCTCCATGGGGCCTTATCATCTATACACAATGGATGAATAACAATATCAATAAGCCCTAGTCGCTCCAATTCAAAAATTTCAGATGCTAAACATCCATCTAAAAGCTTAGAAGATCCAGATCCTCTATCACCAACTGGTAAGTAAGTTCCTGTTAACAGTGCATTAATTGGGTGCCTATATAGCCTTTTAGCAATCCAACCAGGATTTGAAGGATTCAAAGTCTTTTCACCTTTCACTGTTGTCACAGTTGTTACACATATATTTGCCAAGAAAAATTCCTTAATTTTCGTTCGAATTAAGGGGTAAGTTGCTAATCTCTTAGCTTCGTATATAATTAAAGATTCTATCATTTTTTCACTAGTAATAAAATAGGGACTTTTAGAATTTGTGAATTTATCAAACCATTTATATAAAGCTGACTTTGTATTTTCAATAGTAGGACCATCTGGTGGAAGGAGAGTTACATTTGAAGCTATTCCTGTAGGTACTGAACAACGAAATTGAGGAGCCACAAAACTTTTCATGTAAATCGACAGTATTTGAGGAGATACGATATATTGACCCCAGCACTCATATATCCTATCATTCTCTATTTGGTGAAAGAGTTCCATTGTGAAGTTCCGTCTCTTTTTGTTTGAACCTGAAAATAACTCACCTTCAGGTGATTTAATTGGATCCAACCCAACTGATCTCCTCCATCTAGGAGTATCGAGATGGTATATTATATAATTACGAATCTTATCCACATCCTTAAATGAGTCAAAATTTCTACATATGGATAGAATATCATTAAATAAAGATAAATCAAGTGTTAAAGTGTCATCTAGGTTATTGGATACCTGATCCTCACTATTACCATCATGCAAAGTTACACTACCTTGCTTATTCTTATTACTAAGGATGTTTTGATAGCTTAAAAGATTAAGATGTAATGAATTCATCGATGTCTTAATTTTGTAATATATAGAATCATATAAAATAATCTTCCCAATAAAAAATTCATTTAGTGGAGGTTGAACCAAATAGATTCTATGTTGGTAAATAAATGGGAGATCTAAACGATCATTTAACAGCCAATCTAGTACTTTGTAAATAGCACTAGCTACATTCTGTACAACATTTCCAACATGATAAGGGAAGGATGTCTTAAATATTAAGCTATAATTCCTTCTAATTATATCTTCCTTAAATATATCACGATATATATTCACAAATTTGTTTGCTATCCATTGAGATTCTTCTAATAATTCATCTTTTTCAACTCTCTTATCATTCATAGATTTCCAACGATAGTGATACAATAAATACAGACGTTCTGGAATATCAACTAGTTTAATTTCACTATCAAATTCAGTTAAAGTTTGGCTTTGTAATTCTCCAGGTTCAACAGTCTCTTGCAAACTATCTAAAACTGTTCTCTTCATTTGGTCCTGAATTGTCTCTATTTCACCCTCTTCTTCTAAGGCATCTTCTTTCGTATTTATTGAATCTTCTCTAATTGTCTCTAACCTCGCTCTCTGTTTCGTATTGTTATAACTAGACGATGAATTGTCATTATACACAACTTTATTCATTAAAATGTTCAGTACTGTCTGGTAATCACCAAATACAGACTGTATCAGATTATAAGAATCATCTTGAGATATATTAACTCGTCCTCCACTGTCATCCACCATCCAGGAGTCTTCATCATACTCATCATATTCATCATCACCATCATATAAATTGACTCTGGAGTCATATGTAGATTGCTTCAAGTTTACATGCTGTCCATCCTTTTCAAAACCATCATAATCCTCATCTTCATGAAATAGTTGTTGTTCCAAATCATTTATATTTTCTCCCATTATTAAATTATTTCCAGAGTTCACAGTTTCTGACAGCTTCTTTAAACGATGTTTGACTCCATCTGCCTTCAATTTTATCCCTGTATTCTCTTCAATTAAATCTAAGTCATCTTCTTCAAGCCCTCCCTGCAAAATTTCATCATCATCATCGTCTAAACTCTCACTTTCCTCTTCACCTGGTACTTCTTGCTCCTCACCCTCTATGAGCTTTCCATTATAAATAGGTTCTTCTATTTCCTCATCTATCTCATCAACTATAAAATCCTTCAGCTCATCATATCCATCTTCATCATCATCTTCAGATGAAGAGTTGTCATATACTCTAGATTCATCATTTAGCTCTTCATCTTCTTCTGCTTCGTCTTGAATATATAGATGTCTTTCAGACTTCCTTTGCAATTTTCTTTTATTTTTCTGCCATTTATCCTGGATATTTGGACTATCTAGATCCTCTTCACCTTCGCTTGAATCAGCAGATAATTCAGATTCACCAGATACTGACCTAAATTCTGTGGCATGTTGTAAACTCTGTAAAGAGCCTCCACTTATATTTTGTTTACTATACCTTCGTTTCTTCCTTTTAGGTTTCCCCTCTTCGTTCCTTGTTAAATCAAGTTTATTAGTCATTTCCAAAGTTTCAGTATCTTCTTCTCTTCCCTCCAAATTTCGTTCTTTATTTAAAGTTGTATGCTCCTGGGTAGTATCTCCCTGTAAATCAGTAACAAATGGTTCTAAAACATTATTACCATGCAAATTCTTATATATCTCCTCTACAGTATTAGGAGATACATTCTTATTTTCAATCTTTTTATATTTATCCTCCATTTCCTAAGACATTACCTAATTGCAAAAACAATCAGAGTAAAAACCACAAAATGTTACTCACTCTCTGAGCTATCTCAAATCTATTCATAACAATCACTAATATACAAGTACCTTCCTCTAGTTATTTAATTATCCCCTCTTATTCAGTTACAAGGGTGGTCAATACAAAAAGATATTAAGTTTGTCTTGCCAAGCTACTTACACAAATTTATTACTTCTTGCGCCTTATAAATTGATAAATATATATACTAATTCCAAATACCAATATTATCTATTGAATGCGCTCAAAAGTATTTGTTGATGTTACACTAGCCATTTGTAATTTAAATAGTGACAATTCGGTACCCATTGTATACTGACATAGCGGACAAATATTGAATATTCATGTTACCGCCTGTTAGTGCTGGTATTACAAAAGATACCAAATTTCTCTAATAAAAAAATGACATACATTAAATTCTTCCATTATACTAACCATATTATTTCTTTTCACTAAAGAATATTAAATTATTTTTAATATAGCCTTATATTACTACCTCCTTCCTATACAAAAATTTAATATAATTTCAAGTAGTGTGTGTATTTGTGTGCAGTTATTTTTCTTTTATTTATATTGAAATAATATCCAATATAATATTAGTCAATATTAAACCAAAAAATCCAAGCTATATCTAAGTAAAAATTATCTATAGTTTCACTACTCAGTAAAATTATAATTATTCTTTATAAAACATAGGCTCTAGAGAAGCTACGATATACCGCCATCACACTATCAATTTATTATGCCTATTATTGACGCTTTAATTTAAAAATTCAATAGATACAGAGTAGACAGAGCCAAACTATCAATTTCTGCATTAATATCTAAAATTACTCTATACCTAGTGTTAGATATAGTCAAAATTACTTAATTTATATAAGCTAAATATGTCAGAGCTTCCAAAAGTTGAAACTATTGCCCAATATATTGCTGATGTGTGTGGGACAAGAATAGAAGATAATCTGGTAATTAATTACATAGCAAATATAGTGTACTCTGAAATTCAATCTACTAAAGGTAAATTATCATGGCAAAATTTGGAGGATATGATATCATTGTATCTAATTAATTATGGTGATATTGAGAATACTAAAGAAATTATTGACAAACTCTTCGAAATGTTAGATTTGAACCAAGACGATTTAGATAATAAAGATGATGATATATTTAGACTTGTAGAACCAATTAAGATTGATAGTGCTCATTGTAATAATGATCAACATTTATTATATGATCCCTTACTTGGTGTAGAGAAAATCAGAAGTGGAAATTTCAATACGAATACTCCAATAGCTGAAAGTATAAAACTACAAAAAGCAGCTGCGAAGCAAAAAGAGAAACAATTAAGGTTATTGAGACAATGGGAGAAACAAAAGTTAGAAATCCCAGTACCAGTATGCCATCATCCTATTAATAGAGATCGCCAAAAAGTGACAGATATAAATATTCCAAACATTACAATATTTATAGCAGGTAGATCATTATTAAATGATGCATCCTTAAAACTTAGTCTAAAACATAAATATGGATTAATTGGACGTAATGGTATTGGAAAATCTACATTATTAACTTATATAGTTCGAAGGGAAATACCAAATATCCCAATAGATGTATCAATAACATGTGTTGAACAAGAGTTACACTTTAAAGAAAATGAGAATGTAATAGAATGTGTCCTAAGCATTGATGTAGAAAGATCTTCTTTATTAAAAGAAGAAAAAGAACTATTAACATTATTAAACCAAAATAACTTAAAAGATAGTCAAGATAATAATCCGGAAAATGATAGATTAACTTGGATATATAATAGATTAACAGAAATTGATGCCTACAGAGCAGAAAATAAGGCTTCTGTAATTTTAGTTGGATTAGGTTTTACACAGGAGATGCAAAAACAGCCAATTTCAAAATTATCTGGAGGTTGGAGGATGAGAGTTGCTTTAGCAAGAGCTATATATGCCAATCCAGATATTCTATTATTAGATGAACCTACAAATCATTTGGATATATTAGCAGTAACATGGTTGGAAAAATTTCTTAAAGATTGGGATAAAACTTGTATAATTGTAAGCCACTCTAGAGACTTTTTAAATCAAGTATGTACAGATATTATTCACTTTTTAGATAATAATTTAAAATATTATAAGGGTAATTATGATACATTTGAAAAAACCCGTAGTAATGAATTAAAATTAAGGATGAAACAAATAGAGCAACAAGTAACAGAAAAGGAACGTATACAACGCTTTATAGACAGATTTAGATGTAATGCTAGTAGAGCTAGCCAAGTTCAAAGCCGTATAAAATTACTTGAAAAGTTACCAATGTTAGATGAAATACAAAATGATCCAAATGTTGTCTTCAATTTTAATTCAATGGATTCATCATATGATAATAATATTGCCTCAAAAAGTGATAATAAATATGATATTATTTCATTAATAGAATGTATAGATGTAGGATTTGTATACAAAAATAAGAAAGATGAAATCTCAAATTTTGCAAATAAACATATTGTTGAAAATTTCAATATGAGTATACATAATAACTCTAGAATAGCAATATGTGGTGCCAATGGTAGTGGTAAAACTACTATTCTACGTTTAATTATGGGATTACTAACTCCAACTACTGGAATAATAAAACGTGATCCAAAAGTTAGGATTGGTTATTTTACTCAACATCATATTGAATCTTTGGATTTAACATTAAATTCGGTTCAACAATTACAAACAAAATATCCTCATTCTAACATTAATGATGAAGACGCAAGAAATTTCCTTGCACAATTTGGTATTAATGGTATGTTAGCTTTAGAACCTTTATATATTTTATCTGGTGGTCAAAAAAGTCGTGTTGCAATTGCTATAATGGCTTATCTTAATCCTCATATACTTATTCTTGATGAACCAACTAATCACCTAGATTTGGATGCTATTCAAGCTCTTATTTTGGCATTAAATTCTTTTAATGGTGGTGTTATTATAGTTAGTCATGATTCTCACTTAATATCCTGTGTTGCTGATTCAATATGGCATATTGATCATTATAAGAAAACATTAACGGAATTTAAAGGTGGTGACTTTAATTTGTATAAAAAAAAAATAATTAAATCAAATGTATAAATTTTAGAATTAATATAAAGAGAAATTATCTATTATAAATAAATTAAATATTTATAATATTTTATATATACATCTTATTATTTCCCAATTTTTTATTTACTAATAATATATTTTTAAATATTAATACTACATTGTACTTTTTAGACATAATCACCTTGTATGGTCTTAATGGATCTTATAGGCAGTGAAGTAATGTAACTTTATAGTGAAGATTTTTATCTAACTTTTCTCCCTAAAAAAAAATTAATTAACATATGATATATTGTGATACTCTATATCACTAAAAATATAGCAATTCTTATATAAGATTATTCACTACTAAGACTTGTAGTTAACTTTAACTTTTTTATATTACAAATCAAGTCTCTTAACTTGTATAGGTCTATAAGTTGTTATCCTATACAATAGTAAATCCTTTCCTATCATAAAAACTTATATTTTCTTACTGTGCTATAATTTATCTATAAATTTTATTCTTAAATATATAGATTTATATATTTGTTTATATTATAATCATTTCTATTAGCTACAGATTTAAACATTTGCCTCTTACTTAGGAGATAACATATGATATTAAATACCCCCTTAAACCATTACTATTATTAATATCATTGCTCAAAATTTAAATAAAATATTCTATATAAAGAAAGATAATTAATAATAAAAGATCATCATTAAATATCTGCAATGGACTATACTAAACTATTGAATATTAGTAATATTTGGAGTTACACTTATTGTTATTGTTAATCTATTGAAATATTAACTAGAATAAATATTCAAATGTTGTTATATTTATATAAAAGTGATATATAGTTTAAAATTACTTTCGAATTAATTTTAAGGCTTTAAATTATTTAGGTAATAAAACTACTTTAACATAATATTAAATGTAATTATTTTCACTGTACTTACATTTAAATAGCTATTTCTCATATTCCCTTATAGTACTAAATATATATTCTTATATTCAGAATTGTTATCTATATTTTGACTAAGATATATATATTGTATATTATAAATAATATTGTAATTTGTGAATATAAGATATTATAATACAACTAAATAACTTGATTTTGGAGTTATATTGTGAGTTATAATATTAAATACTTTTTACAATGTCAAATTTAATATGAAAATATTTAATAATATATTCATTTAATAATAATATTTAGTTTTATATTTATTTAATTGGTTAATATAATGAATTTGGAATAAATATTCTTTTTTGCTAGTAATATTGGTATATTAAATTAACGATTATTGATAGAAATGATAAAATCAACAATATTATATTAGAATTGATATGAATTATGATTATTTCTAATTTTGTAATATATCTTAATATTTTAGTATCTATTTAAATGAGTAAAGATGTTATTAAAAACTATTATATATTTAACAAAATAAAATCTTTTTATTTTAAACACTTTTTTTTTATTTATAGTTAATTTTTCAGAAAGTTACAAAACCATTACTAATTACTTTTAAATGTATATAATGAATATAATTAATAATTTTATTATTATTTCATTTAATATAAAATAATTAAAGAGATTTTATTTATATGTGTTCTACCTAATTTTAGTAAAATTAATTTAATTGATTTATCTTATTGAAAATAGTCTAAACTTAAACTTACACTTACAAATTCCTATCAAATACATTATTACTTTATCAATGATCATTTATCATTGTTTTTAATATTCCAATAGAAAATAAAAATGATCTTGGATACTACAAGAGTTCTAAGTATTTAATATTAATATAAAATAAACAATTAATTATATTAAATGTAAATTTCTTTTAATTATTTTTGAAACTTTACTAAATAAAAGTAGATTATATTAAAAAGGTTGATCCCATAGTTTTGCAATATAAATATAAGTCACAATATCAAGATTATATCCATATCTTAATGATCTGAAAGCCATTATTTAACTTTTATACACTAGGGTTAATTTAACCTATTTTTCAAACTATTTGTAATTTTTTTTTATATTACTGATCATATTACTAATAGTCAATTTTACTAAATTTATTGTTTACTTTTAACAATATAATACCTAGATATGTAACATTAATTTATATTGTCATTGTATAACTTTAATATAGGAAATTTCAATCTTTTAAAGTTATTTTGTTTAATACTAAATATAATGAAATATTTTATATAATTGAAAAATTTATCATATATATTAAAAAAAATTTTTGATAGTAATAGATGACTACAAGAATATTTTTAAAACATAATCTAACTTAACTTTAATAAGGTTTTAATTTCTCTATACTATTTATTTATAAATATCAATAACTAAAAATAAGTTCATTTATAACATATATACGGATATTTGTTATTAGATTATCTATTATTAATATTAAATGATTTAAGATAAGTGATAAATGTAAAATAAAGATTATTTCAACTTTTTTAATATTGTAATTTATATAAATTATTACTTATTATTCCTATAATTATAATATATTCTATTAATTTACTATTATTACAAACATATTCGAAGTATTTCCAAGTGGAAAGTTTGAAAAATATAGAGTAACTAAAATTTAATATATACAATCTATACATATTAAATAATATTATATTTCCCTTAGATGATAAAATTGGTAAATATAATGGTAAATATCACATATTACCACTATACATCTGTTAAAGTTTTTTATTTATTCTTATTTAAAATATATTCATATAATTTAAAGTAATAATCATAATAATGATACTATTCTTCCAAAAATAAATTATTTTTATTTAATTAATAGCTAGTAACATTAATGATATTTTAATAAATATTGTTTATTTAAAAAAAAAAATTATATTAACTTGCTGTATATAAAGCTTATATATAAATAATTTAAGATTACTCTCATTATAGAAAATAAAATATTCTATAATTATAATCATTTAAATATATATAAAGATCTTTTTATAAGCTAATAATATGTATTATAATATCTTTAGATAAGAGTAAATTATGTTTTCGTTTCTTTTATATTTTATTCAGTCCTGATCTCATCTTATATAATTAACATAAAAATTAAAGATTATGTTAAGATTATTGATTTTTGAATTAGAATTTGAAAGTAAGATTTTATATTTTCTAGTTAAATAGTTCTTTATGGGATTGTTAGCTGAAATAGGATCTTAATATATATATAGAATTATTAACTTTAAGATTTGTATAGTAATTGAGATATATTTTTGAGGTATAATGGTAGATAATAGTCAATTTTTATAAGTTTATAATATTATTATTAATTATAATATTCATTATTTATAGGGTTTATTGTATAATAGGTGAATTTTTAGAAAAAGTGAGTACACTTCATATAAAATAGAACCTATTCGTTAAAATAAAATATCTATATATATATATATATATGTACCTGAAACATTCTCTCTTGAATATTTCACTTTTTCTTACTGTATTAGGGTATTAGTATCTCTTTATATATGTATTCCAAGCTACTAAGTAAACTCATCTATAAATTAATATGGCGCAATTGTGTGTTATTTAGGCGGGAATTCATTTGGTAGTTTTTAAAGTAAACTTCAATACTTATTATTTACATTAATCCTCATAAAGTCCAAAGTAATACTTTAATGTTTATAGACAAACTTGTTTGTTAGCCTTAATTTAAGGTGTTATATATTTTAGATTTATTTGTATTTTGAATTGTAATTTGATAATAGTGATATTATTAAATTAGATACAGGTCCCTTATTATTCAAAGAGAAAAAGAAAAGGACTTGGAAACTTATTTTTAAATTATTTACTTTATAGTTGATGTTATTTATATTTTTAAATAGGTGTTTATATTTTATTAAAGAAAGATAAGTCAGATTATATTTGTTTTAAATAGTACATCATAGTTAAGTGGCGGGTCTCAGTAAAAAGATCCCAGCTTGAGAAGACTAACAGCCAAGATTTCGCAAATTTCTGAAATGAGACTAATCATCAAAAGAAAAGATGAGTCCCAAAAAAAGTGGCTCATAGTTTGGATTCTTTTTTTGCATATCTATATATATAAAGCTTTATGTAGTGTTACCTTAGAGGAATCTAGTAGAGCTGATGATTCCTCTGAAGAAATAGAAAAAGTTGATCGCTCTGGCAAATTTGGAGAATTTAGTGATCGAAGTAATATAGGGTATTCAGAAAGTGAATTAGAAACAGAGGTATCATTATCAAATTTAGATAATTTTATTAAAGAAAAGAAAGGTTCATTATTATTTAAACCCTCAAAAGATGCAAGTATATCTGAAACAAGCTCAAAATTTGAAGATGTGAGTGAATCTGCAAGAAATTTATCAGATTTAGTTCAGGAGAATTCTATAAATACAGAGGGATATATACCATTATCTAGAGAAGTGTTACCAGAAGGTGCTTCTTTAATGATAGGTGAATCTAGTGAAATATCAAATGATTCCAGTCCCACAGCATCAGATACAGATAGTATATATGTAGATACAACATATAATAAGAAAAGTTTAGGGGAAAATAAAACATCAGATATCAATAAATCAGAATTAATAGAATTTTCTGGTTCTCTTGAAGATAAATATAACAGCCCTATTAGAATGACTTCTTCGGTTGAAAAGACAAATAACTTACCACTCATGGTATCAAAGTCACTTGAACTAAATTCAAAAAAAAGAAAAGATTTAGTTGTAGATGTAAATAAATCTAGATTATTATCTGAAGAAAAAAATGTTGGGTTTAAACAAATACCACAAACCACATTGTTTGAAATGACTGGTTCTTCAAAAGAAATTGATTATTTACATTCAAATAACTCTGAAAAGCCTTCAAATGAGCTAAAGGAACAAGGAAATAACTCAGAAAAGTCTTTAGATGAACGTATATTCAATGAAGTTGAAGAAGTTTCACTTCCTGAGCTTAGAACATCAACAATATCACTTTCTGAGTTAACTCCATTGACATTTAGTGAATCTGAACACTCTAATTTAAGTAATGAAACCCTATCAACTGAATCTTCTTTAGTATTTACATCTCCACCAAGTGAAGTGGCTAATCAATTAGAAAATCGTGAAGAATTATCTAATGTATATAACAAGCTTCCAAGTAATATGAAAATGTCACCTGAAAGTAAAACTGTTTTTCAATCTGAATCGACAGCTGATATAACTCAGTTTTTATCACAATATAGTAATAAATCTGATGAAAAATATCACAGTAAAATATCTGATTCGTCTACAAGTATGTTTGCAGAAGTCCCATCTGATATAGGATCTCAAAAATCCGTTGGAAATATTGAAGTATCTAAATTTTCTGAAGATACATCTCAAATTGATGATTATTTAACCCCAGAATTAATAGAAAATTCAACAATGGAAACAAAACCTGAAATTAATACTGAAACGACTTATTTTGAAGAATCCATGAGTATTCAACCTCCTTCTCCTCCAGAAGAGGTAATTGAACCATCTGAAGTTAAAGATAATATTGTTATGAATCCATATATAAAGACTGCAGGTGCTGTAGGAAAAGTAAGCCCAAAATTGGCCCCTTTAATTGAGACCTTAATTAGACAGATGGAGAAAGATGGTAAATCTTCTATAAACCCCAAACCACTAACTGGAAGAGCGAGTCCACCAACTATTATAAATGAACCTTGTTATTTTCGTGATGAGAAAGCATTTCCAAATAAAGAAGAAGAAGCTGCTTTTTATGAAGAGTTAGAAAATCAGAAAGCTCAAAATCCTTTTCTATATAGAAGTAAACTTGAAGAAATGAAGTCAATTATGGGAATTTCTGGAAAATCATTATTGGAAGAATTCTTAGAAAAGAAAAGAGGCGAATATAGAAGTAATTTATCTAGACAATTTGCTACTGGTAATAAATGGAAAAGATCTACAGTAGAAATTCAAGAACCAAAAAAAGCACTTATTGAAGAGATGAAATCCACAAAGTTTATGGAAAATTTATTTCATAGTTCTCATAAAGATAAACCACAAGAACAAGGGCAGATCTTTCAAGAAAGTACTCAAAAAACAGACAAGTCACAATCATTAGTTTCAGATGGCAATATATTTGGAGTTAAATATGAACAGACAAAGGCATCTGAAATATCAAATTCTGATATTCTAAATAAAAAGGACATATCTTCAACTTTTTTATCTGAAAATTTCCCACGAGAATCTCCAGTATTGCATATTGCTGCAAGTCCAGTATCTTCTGAAGAATCTTTAAATCAGGAAACCTCAGAGTTTTCTTCTACTCCAAAGCCTCAAAAAATATATTCTTATACATCACAATATTCTGTTGAAAGCCCTAGAGTTTCATATAAGCCAATTCCTGATCCCACCCGTTCAAAATCGGAAAACGTATCTCCTTGGGTATCACAATATACTAAAAGCCCTAAATCTTCAGATGAGCCAATTTCTGAGACTAATTCACTTATAAGATCAGTAGAGACCTCTTCCTCAGATTCAGCACCCAAAAGAAAATCTACTATACTTCCTTTTATACAGAAACAGTCTTATCAAAATGGATTAGATATTGCTACTTTAACTGACCCTATACCTTCTCCAACTCCCTCCCCTTCTCCATTAGCTCCTATAGAAATTTTCCCAAGTTCTTCTAAAGTTTTAGAAAATTCTGAATCTGTAGAATCAATATTAAATCCGACTTATCAAAAATTTGTGAGAAAACCAGAAAATAAGTTATCAAGTAGTGGCTCTGAAGTTGAACAAACAAAATTTAGTCCATTAATACTCCTTCCAACTGACTCTCCACCAAATGAAAAAACATCTCCGGTTTCAATAAAGTTATCTGATTATAACGAACAAGCAATATTTACAACAGCTAAGATGCACACTGAAAAAAAAGATGTGTTAAATAATGACCTTGAAGAGTGTTTAAATAAAGCAAAGAATATAACGATTAATAATCTTGGAATATTAATATCTGATTTACCTGAAGGACCTACAGTGAAATTTATACAAATGGAACTAAAAAATGAAAAGGCTAAGATGAAGGACTTAATGCAATTTGGACAAGATGCATTGACTAAAGTTGAGAAATATGTGAAAAAAAAGTCCTGGAGAAGCAAAAAAAAAAGATTCAAAGATGATATCTTGAGAATGACAAAGGATTACTACTATAATGTAAAGTCTGTTCGTTCTCTATTGTATCATCTAATTTTTTTTTCACAGGATGAAGTAATGAGAAATCTTAATAATATTCTAAATAACAATGAGGATAATTTACCATTTAAAATAGTTCAATGTGAAATATTAAAACAAATTTTTAATTCCCACGAAAATTCAGTTCGTGGTAAATTATTAAAAAAAATTGGTCAGAAGAATTTTATTAATCTTTTTAGAGCACAACTAGAGAAACTTTTAAAAAATAAGTTAACTCCTTTAGTAAAAGGTATAGAATCAAGTAAATCATTGAAATCAAAATTTATAAAATCTCTTCATTTTATTAAAAATATACTCCAGAACAAATTCTATACTAATTCTAGTGAAGAATATCCTAATTTAACTGTTGAAAAACATAAAAGAAGTGGTATTACAAATTTCTTGTTAAAATTGTTTAAACGTAAAAAGAAAGATAAGACAAAGAAATCTAGCAATATTTCCTAGTCAATAATATTATTGATCTCTATATTATAAAGATGTATAAAATCACTAATTCTAAAATATCAAATTCAATCATCTGTAGAATATTTATAGATTTAAAAAGGAAGACCTAAAACTTACTATAACCCCCCAATCTATGTCTATTTTAACACTTTTAAAAAGCTAAATAGAAATAATTAACACGAAGTTGTCTAATAGCTTAGAAAATTTAACTCTTTTTACTTTCAGTTTTTTTGATATAGCAAATAGATTGTAAACTGGAGTTCATACGATTAATTAAAACCTCGAAATTATTATTTACTGAAAGTTTATTTATGAATAATCCATACAATTCATACATGCTCTTTATTAATACAAGTTACTTATAGACACTTGGACTTTTTATATTGATATTTTTATATTTTAGTTTGTAAGTATTGATTCAAGTTTCTCCAAAAGTATTTCACCATATTTGGATATAAAGATATGAATAGTCTATTCTAAATACTTCTAATTATCACTTATAATTAAGTATAATTTATTTTAAAAAATTTGTCATAAACTAAAATTATTACATATATTCTTACTCTGGAGGCTCAACCATAATAAATAGAGGTGAACCTTTTGCAAATTCCTTTTTATATTCCAAATATTTTGATGCTATATAAACATCTTTCTTACTTTTAAATTTTTGAGTACTTTTTTTTTTGTTTTCCTTAGTTTTACACTGTACAATTGCAAAATATTGCCCCTCAGAAATAAGATCTCCAACTGAATTATGACTATATCCAAATCCATTGCATGGAGCCATAGTAATATAATATTTTACGTTATGAATAAATAGAATTTCAAAAATTATGTCTCCACTACTAATATCAATAACCAAATCTTCAAACGAAGAATCTATACTAGAATTATTAGTATACTTTTTTTCTTTCTGACTTTTAACTTGAATTTCTTGGTCTTTTGTCTCAATTGAATCTTTACCACTAGTAGAGTGCGTTAGTGGAAGTATTTTAAGAATTAATATATCCTTTGAAGGTTGAAATACAATATTATTCCCATTTTTACACAACACATTAGCTAAAATTTTTTGTCTTTTAATAGTATTTCCTAATACATGATCTTTTTGTAGTAGAAATTTCCCATTACATGGAGAAATAACATTTTGTATATTAATTTCATCTGGTACTACAAAATAAAACAAAAGATTAATAATATAAATTGATTGTTCAATATTACAACTTACTTTTTGAATATTCGATTGCAAATTCCTTATTTGGTGATATTTTCTTAATAATTTTGTTTTTTAATTCACCATTTTGTTTTGCTTCATTGGGTTGATATTCTGTATAGTCAACAATAATTAGTGGCTGATTCTTTACTACCATTGATGGATTTGGTAATACATGTGCTAGTATTGTAAGTGGTTTATTTGACTGGATATTCTGAATCCCTAAAATTTGATCTTTACATTGAATAGTAGCTAGATTTGTTTGTATCTGAATTACTCCAGGAGATTCAATATAAATTATTATTCCATCACATGGAGAATTTAATATTTTCCACTTTGGCCTAAGAACTAATAAAGCTTCTCCATCCTAAAATAAATAAATTTCTTAATTTATAATAATTAAAAAACTTGACTCTAAACCCCTGTATAGTGGGGAATTTAGAGTCTAAAAAAAATTTACCTTAACTTCTGCTTCATCATCTTTAAATACAAATGAGACTAGAGCACTTGTTTCTGCAATTTCTTCGCGTCTCTCTCCACCTTCACATTCAACTTGTACTAAACTATTATTATTACCTATGTACTCTCCAACACTTGCAGAAGCTATTAATTTACCTTGACAAGGAGATGTAATTATTTTTACATCTCCAAAAATTATATAAGGAGAAATATTTTCTGATTCTCCAGTTAAATTTCCAGTCAATATCTTATCTCCCTTTTTTATATAACTCTCAGTCTCTTTGGAGTACATAATAAAGTCTATATGTAATTTAGTTATAGTAAGTGAAAAAGGAGTTTTGATATCTAAATTACGCTTTATTACAATTCTACTTTTTTTATCTTCATTATGGTATTCTATTTCTTCACACTGTAAGATAGCTAAGGTACTTCCGTTAGGTATAACCTTCCCAAATGTTCTTGATAATAATATCTTTCCATTGCAAGGGGAGTATATAACCCATATTGCTTTTTCATTCAACCTGGGGGACTGCTTAAGTTCATATAGTTTTCCTTTATATTTCTTCATTCTAATAAATATAGATGATGCCCATGCTGCATTAGCTAGGGCTAACAATAATTCATTGACACTTTCTTGGTTCTTAGTTACACTTGCTATTCTTTTATTTTTAGCTTCTCTAAGGTTATTTTTATGTTCATTAAAATCTGATTTTATGCTAAAATTGTCTGAATTTATTAAATAATCCATACCTGTATACTGTTTTTTTATATCTTCCTTGAAAGTCTCAACATAATATTGAAAATTTATTAGAGGTATTCCTGGTATCAATGGAACACCGATTACTTTTGTATCTATTAATATTCTTACATTATAGAAGTCTTGCAATGTCTCAAATAGTAAGTAGATATTCTGATCATACCATAAAGATATTAAAACTGAACCTTTAGGAAGGTTTCCCATATTAGCTGTTGATATTACTACAATATTAGAACTAGACTTCATAATAACATCTATTAACTTTGATTTACTCTTATTATGTTCTGAGACTTCTCTAATTATTAAATAAGTGTCAGAATGAACTTCTATACAATTAAAGGAAATAAGATTCCTCGGAGTAATTGTCCGCTATAAAAATTCCAATATATCTCTGAAAATAGAAAAAATGTAAATTCTTAACTTACCCCTTCATAAAGTGCAGAGACTATAGACCCAGATGTCTCAAAAATGTTACTAATAGACATAATGCAAGGTGATAAAAGTGTTGTAACAGATCTGCGTTTAATAGATCCTTGAAATTCTAAAAATCCTAAGATCTACATTAATTTATACAAAAATTCACAAAAACAATTAATATAAGTCTTTATATATATTTATAAACTCTAGTCTCAACTTACTTCTCCTTCTTGGAATATTGCTCCTTTTGTTACTCTAGGCGAATATTGAATAGTTGCAGGATCAGGACTTTTATGTATAAAGATGCCTTTTGCGTTTAAAGGTGGTATGAACAGAGTTTTTTCATTCTTTTCATCCTCAAATCCCTTAATATAATTGTCTGAATCTTGTATACGTTTGTTATTAAATTCTGATGAAGGTACCAAATCTTTATAAGTTCCTGAGTACAATGTACATACATCTTGCCAGCACAAAAACACTAAAATAGTTGATATTACCCAGGAATCCCTGACTTTAAACATTTTAGTATTTAATATTTCATTAATCCTTTATAATTCTTCAAACATAATTTTCAGAATGAGAAAACACACAATTTTCACACATTGCAGATTATAAAAAAAGTTTTAACACACATAAATATTGATTAAAGTAATAGAACTTAAATTATAAAAAAAAATAATATTTAAATCATCTTCAGATTTAAAACTAAAATATAAATTTTGTCACTAATATTGTTTGAATCTAGCAAAAGTAATTATACAAACAGACTCAATCTCAGTACTGCTAAATGACTTAGGTAGTTTCTCTTTGAGGACTTTTATACATTCTGGTACAATCAAAGGATGCCTATTACATAGTGGTACTTGAACTTCTTGACTATCTCCAAGTAACTGATTAATATTTAAATTCATTTCATAAACAAGTAAAATAGCGGTATCAAGCGTGATCATTGAAGTACTCTCATAATTTTCCATTGTTATAAAAGGACTATTACCTGAATATAAACCTGAAAAATTATCTTCAACAAAATCACTATTTATTTTAGTTTTTCTAGATATATCGTCTTCAAAATATTTTTGATTCTCAGTACTTTTAGTTCTTGATGTAGAAATTAGTTGAGATTTATCATGTATGGCCAGTTTTATAAACGAGTCATGAAGAATTCCATAAATCCTAATACCTTCAAGTATCCTTATTCCTACTATATGTAAGCTATTTCCCTTATAATTTATTTTATGCCCTCTAGTAATCTTAGATTCAAATATCTTTTCTATTTTATATCTTATACTACTAAAACTATCAGTTTTTTTCTTACTTTGTATAGAATTTATAGAGCTTTCAAATATAAATTTATATCTAGTTTTCTTTTCAATGTAATTTTTAATAGTAGTAGTTAATCCTGATTTATTTATGCATTGCTGATTGATTACTCTGCATAACATATCCAACTTTCTCAATTGAATTGGGCAATTCGATAATACTTCATTTTCCACAATATCACTTGGGAAAATGGAATCATTACTTGTATCAACAATCCCCGAAATTAAAGCAGAAATTCTGCAATGTTCAAGCGAATTTTCACCATCTAGTGAAATTAGCCCTCCCCTAAGGGCAATAAGATGTAGAATGAAATTAGTTATCGGTTCAAAAGCTGGCATTAAATAAGTTGAAGAAGCCATGGCATTAAATATCTTAAAACTGCATAATAAAGGTGGGATATAATTGATGGGAATAAACAAATAATTAACCAGATAATTAATAAAAAGAGCATTTCTATTAATTGGAGGGACTGGGAGATTTAAGTGAATAAATTCGAAGGTAGATATACAAATACCTTTTATACTTGTATCTGATAATTCACCATAAACTTCATAGGACTTATAAAGTATTTCATAGCATTTTTTAACTAAGCAGGAGTCATTCTCCAACATTAACTCATAATTTCCAGTACTTCTAAGTCCTATATTAGTTTTATATTGCATTTTTGGTGTATTCCCATATTTATCCTCGGTATTTTTACCAGATATATAACTTGTATCTTGATTGAAAACTTTGAAATGTGTTCCAGTGAATGCTGAACTTGATATGCATGGGAGAGTGTTATAGTCACTGTATATATATTTAAAAATAATTATAATATCTTTAATACTCATTTCCTTACTATAAGAAGATCTCTGTATTAGTCTTATAAATTTCAGAGCTTGTAAAGTAACCATATAAGTTACAGGATATTTCGCTTCAAGATTTATAATATCGGTTCTGCTATTGTATATAATCTCTTCCTTTACAGCCTGTATAACTGATAATACATTTGATCTCCAAAACTTTTCACTAGTTAATCCTCTTGTGTACGATCTAATAGAAAAATCTAGCAATTTAAGATGATAAATGTCATTTAAACAAAGTGAGACATACTTGCAATATACATCGGAATGTTCCCAAACAAGAGTACTTAAAAGTGCTGAATATAAAGGAACTTTATGTTTACATAGCTCAATTTCTTTTCTAGCTCCATATATTAAAATTTTAGATTCTAAATCCGAAATATTCGATAATTTTTTGAGATCTTCATTTGGGTTATCAATTACATATTCTAGTAGTATTTGAATATTCGGATGAACTCCCATAATTATTAAAGAGCTTGCTACATAACAATGCAGTCTTATTACTAAATCTAAACTAAATCCAAAGTCGTTTACAGCTGAAATTACCAATTTATGTAAATAAGGTTTTTTAGAAAATTCCATGGGATAAGAATCAAACATAACATGAAAGCAAAACGTAGCAAGAGTAGGAAATACTGTTGAAAATTCTGTTCGCCCTTTAACAATTGCAGAAGCACAATCAGAGGCTGTAAAACTATTCTTTATTATCTCGATCACCTCAGAGGGCTTAAAAATTAGACTTATAGGATTGTTATTATTTAATATATATTTATATGGCATTGAAATATTTATTTGATCTTTTTGATATTCACTCACATCTACTGAATTAGTTATGAGGAGAACCAAGCGATATAAATAAGAGTATAGTAGTTGAGATTTCAATACTAAATTAGGATCGTGAGTTTTAATAAGCTCTTGCAAAACTTCAGTAGGTGACAGGACTTCTCTAATTATAGTGGAGTTTTTATCATTTATTTCAGAAAACTCTTCATTATAAGATAACTTAGTTCCTATAAATTTATATCGTGACAAAATCTGATTATAATGGAAACTCTGAGGAGAAGCCACTGAAGAAAGAATTAGAATCATTGTATCTGATGGAGATATTACGAAAAGTGATGTAAAACACATATATATAGCCTTGCACAGTTCACTAGAATCTTTTATTAAAGTGTCACTATTCATTTCCACCTTATTCTTAAATACATTATTCCTCAAATTTATATAATTTGGTAGTAGAGTCTTACACTGAGAAACGAAAGCTATAGAATTCTCAGTACCAAGTGATCCTAATAGCAATGCTAATTGTGTAGCTTGAGGAAACAAAGGATATATCCCAGTATAGGAAGAAGATAAATAAAATGTACATTGGGCTTTAGCAATCATTTTAAGAGGTAACTCAAGATATTCATGAAGGTACATGAGATATTTAAGTGATATAGGAGTAGGAGGAAGAGGAACTAAAATGGAATTGATTGCCTGTAATGAAAATATACAAATTGAATTAACCAATATACTTAAATTCTCTTTTTCAAAGGACTTAGGAAGTAACTTGTGCTTGTTGATAAAATTTTTTAGATTATACTCACATATATTTGTATTCTTATTAATTGTATCTGTTGGCTTATCAAATATCTCCATTAAATCTTTAAATATAGACTCTTTAGATAAATCATAGACCTCAGTGACTTTATTTATGTATAAAGAATTCATTATATAGTCCATTTTAATTGTCAACCTTAGTAGTTGTAAATAAGATGTAGTTAAAGGCTTTCTATGAAATTTTCGTTGTAATTTCTTCATAAAATTTAATCTAGTCGGTGTATCCAACAAATCTACATCTACAAGATTTACTGCTAAAGTTTCTCTCATTATTCTTACAGAATTCTGCAGCTCACCATCATTTACACAAAGTGGTAATTGCTTACATAATGTATCGATAAATTTTGGGGGTACATAACGTGATGGTCTTTTAGAAATATTTGTCATATAGCTCTTACATGCAATTAAGAATTCTGAACTTTCTATTTCTGGAAGCTGAACAGTTAAAGACGCCACACTATGGATTGAAGGAAGAGATGAAGATAAAACAAGTTGGTTTCTTAAACTACGGAATGTATAAAATATACAAGCCCCCAAAAAGGTATGGTACAGTGGAAATCCAATCATATTCACAGAATAGCTAATAAATCTACTTATAAAAAATTCTTCCTCTAAGTATAACTGAGAAGAAGCTGCTGCTACACTTCGAGGTAAAGGTTCTTCTATATTCTGAGGACGATGTAAACCTAAAGCTAAGGGAACTTCTATAGATGCCTGAAGTGATATCCTAGCAGATTCAAAGTAATATAATAAGTCTGTAGGACCTGATGGAAGTAAGTGGTATACTGAACTAATCTTTACACTTTCCTTATCAATTACCAGAAAATCATTCAAAGTATCTTTATCAAGTAAATTGGATATTTGCCCAATTTCTTCATTCTGCTGAAAACTACTATGTATATATTGTTCTAAATTGGAATTATATATACCATGGATAAATTCAGTCCTTAATAGTATTATGTAGATCTGAATTAAATATACAAATAAATTACTCATTAATACTCAAAGCACACTTTTAGTATATTCCTGATATATTCTTAAAGTTAAATCTCCCATCTATCTGTAACTTCTCTGTAAAGTTATTTAGTCTTACTTTATTCTACTTTGTAACTAACCTTTATACTATAGTAAGATCTCATAACCCGCTAAATAAACCGCGTCATGTCCCTACAGCCACTAATGGAGACTTCAAGAAAATAGAAAGTGAAATTCCGGATACTCAATGAAAAATTCTATAGTAAAGAATAGACATATTAAATAAAGCGAAAATCTCATTGTACTTCGTTACATATAAATATTTTATGTAGCTTCACAGCTAGTTTGCCTAACATGCAACTAGATCTAAATATCATTTTAGAGGTGGATACTCAATACCATGCTTTCTTAGTGACTCAATAAGAAGTGGTAGCTCAGGAGGTTCTCCATGATATTGTGTTCTCCATTTAATTGCCATATATCTTGACTTTTCAAAACCATAACTCTTAGCACTAAAGTTTTTTGATAATTTGACACCATCAACTTCATATTGTGAAACCCAGCGGTGAATTCCCGGATTATAAAAAACTCCAGCAATCTGAGGTCCAATAAAGAATCTTTTCCGACTATTTGGGGTTGTTTTGTCTTCCGTTTCAATGTAAAGAGAATGATCTACATTTGAAATTTGGAAGTCCGGAGATGAGTCAGTAGTTGGTGAATTAAGAGATCGCTTGCTTGTAATTGATTGTGCAGGTGAAGATGAAAATTGAGGTTCTTGACTATCTTGTATATGTCCTTTATCTTTGCTGGATTTTGTAAGATTATCGATATTACTACTTGATTTCTTGCAACTTAAAGTTTCATCAATATTTGTATTTGAGAAAAATGAGATGTCTTCCTGTCTTATCTTAGTATCATATCTATTATTAGCATCATGATCAATATTTAGATTTGGTTTATTATCATCTAAAGTTGTGCTTGAAGTAAAATTATCACCCTGAAAATTTGAATCAGTACTTTCTTCAATTACTATATCATTGGAATTAACTTGTAACTTTGCTTCATTCAATAGTCTAAGTACTTGAGGATCATCTTTATTTGCTGGTGTTGTAACTAGAAAATCGCCTTTTGTAGGAATACACAAATAATATTTATCTGAAAATCCCTTCAGTAGGCCTTGATGTACAACTACATCTTGTTGATCAAAATCTTTCAGAGATCCATCTTCATAAGCTGGAAAACCTTGAATTACGGTTTGTAGATACTCCATAAGTTCATGAACTCCCTTAGTAGATCCAAATACACTCTCTCTATATTCAATAGCAAGTTGCCTAGACCCCTCAAACCCATAGGCACCAATGCTAAAGTACTTGTATCTCTTTCTTCCATCTGAGCTAATGTATCCTGTAACCCATCTATTTTGGATCCTATCATAACGCACTCCCTCTACAATAGGTCCGAAGAAGTACTTTTTACCATGTATAATCATCGATTCATCCTGATTCAACAACTTTCTAGGATCAGATTTAATTCCACCACTAGTTTCAGCCAACACACTACTACTAGTTCGAATTCTAAAGGTAGAACTGCAAGTACGTTTCGTTTGTATTTGATCTTCATTATAAGATGACAAACTATTTCTTTTTATTGGAGTTTGTGAAAATTCTAAAGTTATTCCTGCCTTTTCATTTGCCAAATATTCTGCTTGCTCTGATCCAAATTCTTGAATACTAAAGCTTCCAACTTCCTCCATGGTAGTATTATCTTTACATATCCAAGATTCTCTCTCACTATCCAGATAAACATTAAAATTGGGAGTATTTGACGCTATTAATGGGGTATTATTTAAAGAGCCCGAATTTCTAGTATTATAGTTAGAGGGAGATTTTCTAGTATTCTCAACTGATGTCACTTTCTTACTTCTTCTACTACTTATATTGCCACTAGAATTATTATTTTGGCCGTTTATTTGAGCCAACTGGTCCCTTCTATGTTGGATAGCTAATTCCCTTGCTGTCTCATAACCATATTGCTTAACATTAAAAATACGACTTCTTCTAATCCCATTTTCTGTCCAAACTGCAACCCAACGATCTCTGTTTTTTTCATATGTAACTCCAACCTCATTCCCATTCTTTGAAGGAGTTGAGGGAATTTTTGAACTTAAAATAGAGTCTTTCTTTTTCAAATTAGAATTTTGAATCTTCTTACCAGAATCATTCGTACTAACGGAAACATAAGTCTGATATGCCAATGGTAATGATACATTTGTAAGTTCTAGAGGCTTCCATTCCTTAATAGAATGACTAAGTATCGACTTTCCATTTTCAAGTATATCACAGCAGTCAGGAGGATCAATTGCAGAAGGTATCTTCAAAATCCCACTAAGTTGTAAAAGAGTATACTCTAACCACTCTCTATAGTAATCTAATTGTGTAATTGCTTCTATACAAGTCTTCATACTACAATCCTGCACATTCAGTGGAGAGGTATCAGAACTAGAAAACTCACTTTTACAACCTCTATAAGTCCTCCTAATATTAAGATGATCCATAATACGTCTATAGGGCTCATATTCATCACTACTTGTAGCTCCATAAATCTGAATTATGTGAAACATCAGATTATCACCATATTCTGCCCACAAAGGAAATAAATATGACAAATAACGAAGGAAAAAGTCAATACATACCAAATCTTCCATATCATCACAAACCAAACTGATATATCTACTCTTATTTCTATTATTATCCAACATTTCAATATCCTCCTTAGATTGTCCATTAGATAAATTAATTTTACTTGAGTCCATATTTACATCCTTTCCAGTAGCATTTTCATTTATATATGCAGATTCCTGGTGGATTACTTGGGATTGGCTAGTATTTTCATCGTCCAACATTTCTATAGTAGAGTTTCCAAATATAAGGTACTACTACAATAGAAATCCTTCAAACAGACAAGTGTGGGAATCGTAGTGCTTTTCTTTCTTTCTATTCTCTCCTCAACCAATTGAAAGTCAAATTAACTCTATAGGGTTACAGAGCTTTATGTTTTCACAAAAAGTTGTGTTATATTGAAACTTCTACCTCCTCCTCTAAACAAAATTAGCCGTCTATGAAGCTCCTCTGCAACCCTAAGCTACAAGATGCCACGTCAGCTATATTGGCGCCAAGTTTCCACATTAGATACCTATGTAACTTTAGTGAAGAAATATGATACTCAAGAGTTTATATGTGCAAGCATGTGAGCATACTATCCCTAGAATATAGTAAGCATTTTTAGTAACTTAAACTACTATCTAAACCAAGAAAGAAGTCTCCATTTCCTTTTTTGTAGTTCAACAGGGGCTAATGGCTCATCCAAAAAGATGAGCCACACCCTCGAAATAAGGTTCCTCCACAAATCCTGATTTCCTAATCTAAATCGAATATAATTTGCACACCAAAAATTCATTAAGGGTATCGTAAAGAATGAAGAACCCCCTCTAACTCTCTGAGATATATCTGAAACTATCCTTCTAAAGATCTGCTTGGTAATTGTGCAAGGTATATGAGGAAACTCCTCTTCAGATATTGTAGTACCTAGAGGGGACCACCCTTCAATATTAAGTATATCTGCAGCAAATGTCTTTTTAGATTCAAACTTAATACTTGGTACTTTCAACTGCTTAAGTAGTTCTGCAATATCATTTTGTAATTGTTTGAAACGCCTCAGCTGATTACTATTGCAATAAATAGTATATTTAGGAGGACGTTTATCAGGAGTATTAGGAATAAACCCAGAATAACGTTCTAGATATTTGGTAGGATCTACAGTTAATTTGATTGGCAATTTAGGTATATCGTTACTAAAGCAGGAATTATAGTCGGTGTACCATCTGGAGTCAAAAGGATCATATAAAGGTCCGAGAGAAAGATTCATTAAAATATTCATAGCTTGATCTCCCCTATGTTTTAGAATTGATACACGTAATAGATATTTGTTTGATTTATATAAGGGGGGATTTTGAATGAGTTTTGTATACTGTGAAAGAAGTCGTTTATTTTCAGCATTGACTGCCACTAAACGATATACTTTGCGAACAATAGGACGATCTGCTATATCAAAAATATCAATTGCTCTTACACAGACACTAGCATGATAAGCTGTTAAGTCGATTATTCTATGTATTAATATATTTCTCTTATGTTTGGCTTGATTAAGTAAATTACTCATCTCAACTTCATCACTTGATATTCCACTTCGTCTTGCTGTGTCTAAACGTTCTAAAATATTTCTCATATTACTTTCTTCATTGGTCAACTCCATCATCATATTATGAATTCTACTTACGGCTACACTTACAAGAAGTTGAATTCTTGCTTCTTTTTGTGTTATACTTTGCATTATCATATCCACATCAAAAAGTGAAATATTACCTAGAATCTGTTTTGGATCATCCAAAATTTTTTTAATTCTATGCTCAGTTTGAGCTAACCATGAATTTAAGTTTTCATCATCTATATCATCTTGTCCTCCAGTTCCAAGTATATCACCTGGAACTCCCAACAAAAAATTATTTACACTCTCATCAACAGCATCCACAAGTAAATGATACATTGGATCTAAGTCTTCAGGTGTCATAATTTTTTGATTAGCTATAAAAACATCAGTTAGAGCTAACTGAATTGAAAATCTAAATGTCCTCCCCTCTTTCATCTGAGATATAGCAAGACATGCATCTGGCAACTTCACTTTGGTTCTATGCAATACACTATGAGCTATTCCAACCACTAATAGAGCCAACCTAAACGCAGATCTATGGAGTAACGAACAAAATAATGCAAAATGATCCATATTCTCATACTGTTGTTTATCAAATAAGGGATCTCCCCACTCCTTATTTTTATTTAATGATGCGTACAATTTTAAGTTTGAAAGAGCAGTAGGCAAATTACTTTTTGGAGAAATATCAGATCTATCTTCAGATATGTACTGAGATAAAGCACCAATATGAGTTTCTAAATACTTTATTAACTGAATCTGATAATAAAATCGTTTTTTGAGACTATCTGCAACATTTCTTCTTTGGAAGAAGAGATCTTGTATAAGTTGTTGCGTCTCTTTGAAGGATTCAATTAAATTCCTGTATGTTATGAACAAAATACGTAAAGCTTGATAATTATTTAAATCTATGGGTTCTAATCCATCTTCCAACACCTTACTACTTTCCTTAATTTCAGAAGGAGTCAATATTCCAGGTACAAAAACAGGAACTCGACCTTCTGCAATATTCTTCCTACGAATATAAATGTTTTTGAATCTATTAAATAAAGCTCTTCGATCTACAACATTTTCTGAAGCTGGAAAATCTGTGAACAAGATTTGTCTGACATCATTTGGATCTAAATAGCACCTGTTATGAATAGCTAAAGCTGTAACAATAGCTTCATTAGCTGCAGCCCTTTGCCTTGTTACAGAGCTCATACCAGTTTGTTCCTCTTCTAATATTGCACATCTTATCAGCTTTTCAGATGGTATTACAGAGTTACCAGCAAATTGGCCCATTTCAAAGCATAAAGTTTCAGCCATAGTATATGGGATAAGATTATGCAAAGCTGACCTCAAAGTTAACGCACAATCTTCAAGAGACCCCTTTAGTAGTGCTAAAAAGCATGCACAAGCGCGACTCTTTCTTAGATCATACCCATTCTCCAAAGCTCTTAAAACCAAACCATTAGCAGACTTTATACCATCTTTATCCAAATAACTACACGTACTCCCCCCAAGTCTATCTTTATCAGGATTATATATCAATGTTGCCTCCACTCTCTTTACCATTTCATTAGCTTCTTCTGCAGATGCTATTACTACTAAACTTTTAATATCCTCATCAATTTGTGCAATCTCATAAACTTTTGAACATAATTCTTCTTTACGGCGGCTTAATTTTGGATGTTGAACTAATGTCAACTCTACAGCCTTTGTACAAGCAGCAAAATAGCCATCTCTTAATGCATATGTTATATGACAAGCATCCAATAAAGACATTCCTATTAAGTCCAGTAGTGACATAAAAAAATAATGGAATCAATCAATCTTAAATAACTTACCTGTATTAGAGAGTTTTTTTGATACTATTATAAATAATCTCGCTAGTTTGGCCTGTTGAGGAGTTAATATTGTACAATAATCTCTAAATGAAAGAATCAGTTAAAAAAGGTATTACAACAGAGATAGTATATTAAAACTCACACCACAAGTGTCCCTGCTTCTTCAGCCCCTTTAGGGAGTTTATTATTTGGATTAGTACCAAATAATTTCCTAATATTTTTAGACTGCCAGTGGTACATATTAAATCCCGGACGACTAGTTCCATAGATCAAGTTTACAGATAAAGACAAAATGAACAAATGATATATAACCAAAACTTGCATATTTAATTATACTACAGTCTTGTTAAATAAAACTCTATATTTTTCATCTTCCTTATTTATAAATTAGAGGTTTTTTTTGCCCTTCTCTTGTGTAACTACTTTTTAGATCTTGAATTTGCCGCCAAATGGTGCAAGTTAACCCTTTATAATTTTGCGGGCACTTATTAAGAAAAATAAAAATAAATTACAGAAACCCTTATGAAATAGCTGAAAGAATATTTGCATGATTCACTGTTGTCTCAGATACATTCTAAATCAGGATTATGCATGAATTATAATTTAAACTCAAGAAATATCAAGTATCGGATACCTAAGACCTAACTGCATCTTGAGCGCTGTTTCTTATTCAGGTATCTGTGAAGATATGCAAGTAGTGTTGCATTTTTATTAGTTCCAGAATCTCTTAAGTATTTTCAAAAAGACAATAAATGAAACTCTTAAAACTTTTAAAATTACTGCCCTTTTTGTTATGTGTTAGATGCTACTGTGCTGATACTCACTTAATTGGCTTTTCAGAGAAGGAGTTACTATCAACTTTGTGTCTGTCTCTCCCACCTAAGTTTATGAGATGCGAAATATATCCTGGTACAAATATATATGGAAATATTTCATTACCTCCCGTTCCAGTTTTAAAACCTTCTTCTACTTCTGAGTCTGTTTTTGGAGTAATGATGTTTCCAATAAATGGTGGTTATGCTACTTATGGAGTATTGAGTGTGAGACCCAAATATAATTCAATAACAGTTAATAGTTTTTCAAGTTCACTTCAAAATGTACCGGTACAATTAATTCAATCGTCTGTTGCTATGTTTGGTCTCCCATATCAAGCAACTAATGTTGTACCATCAACACATTGTACTCTTGCTCCACTTAATATGCCTAGTAATCCGTATAGCATAATTTCATTACCCAATATGGGAAATAACTTCTTACATAGGCATGTCCCTGAAAATATTATTTTAAAAGCTAATCCTTTAAAATCTATGATAAGAGATATGTTCTATACATCTTTTCTCGCTAATTCTGAATATCCTGTAAAACCAACAGCTTCATATGGAATGGGATTTGATCATTTAGTTCCAGCAATTGTATGTTTTAGTAGTAACAATCAAGCGACACGTCCATCTGGGAACCAGCAACCCTTTTTAGGTGGTGTATTAATAACTGAAAGAATTATGGGACCTAGTCTGAGAGATGCAATCTCATTCTTAAGAAGTTCCAAATTAAAAGAATGGGTAGAATCATCTAAAAGTACCAATATCTTTATACAACGTATCTCTTTCAGGTTAGAAGCTCAGTATTCTTTAGCTCATGCCTTTATTGCGGCTCTCTTAACTTTACAGTACCATTCACCTGCTGGAAGACTTTTGCATTGTGACCTTACAACTAGAAGTATCCACTTTGATGGTATCCCTTGGGATTGGTCCAATAATCAAATAGCGGAAAATCTACAATCTCTAACATTCCTTTCACCTAGAAATGTTAGATTTTCCAACTTTGCTTATATGTACTCAACATTAGAAGTTGTAGAGGAAAAATTACGATGTCATCACAGTGAAAATGACTTATTCAGAGTTCAACAATTCATAAAATCACTATTTTATGATCAATGTAAAAGAACAGATTTTCCACCTAATAATACTCTCCAAAGCGTATTTGAAAGCATCTCATTAAGTGTGAAAACCTGGTGGAATGGAATTATAAATAGCATTGGAGAACCAATTAGAAACACTACAGCAATAGATCAACAATTAATTCAAATACAACAGATACTGAGAGTTATTCATACAGATCCATTAGTAATCAATAGTATTAATAAAATGGCTAACTTTGAACAAATAACACAAGGTATTAAAACTATTCATTCAGCTGTTAGTGAAGCTTTCAACATACTCAACAGTTATAGACGTGTTACAAGCAGGAACAGAAATATGGTACCATGGTCTTATTATGACTTAGTACCTTTTCCGGTACAAAAGCCAAATAAGAGAGTTCAGAGTATTCTTAATGGACAACTTTTAAATGCATATTTTGTTCCAAGTAATTTTGGTATGGAACAGCAATCTGGTAGCATGACAGATCTAACTACTATAATTGGAATGACTTAGATCTTTATATTTTTGGTAATTGAATCGGATGAGTTGCAATTAGAATGTAGATTGGCTCTATGATAAGATAAAAAATCTAAATAGCGGAATTTGAAGGAAATTCTCTAATGCGCTAAAGTCACCAAAAGGACTTTAACTCATTTAAATTATTAAGGAGATTTAAATTTCTCAAAAAATAAGTTAATATTTAGGTGTTGTAAAATAAATATCAATATTTCTTAGCTAGAATATTAATTTCCTATAATATTGCTATGTTCTAATATATCACTAGGTCTTGTCAACTTGCAAGTTGTTTATTTCTAAGTAGGAATGCAAAAAATATATAAGCTAATATACGCATAGCAATTCCCAAACCAAATACAGTTCCCAAATTTTTCCAATAACTTTCTGTCCAAAGTGCATACTGGTTAATGAAGAAATCAGTAGTTACTGATACAAAGGATTGACCAGGAATAAAAATAGATAAAAACATTCCTGTAAATAAATATCTACATGTTGAGAGCCATCCAAACCAATTAATCCATACTGGGATTTGGTTTAAATTCAAGAAATATCCTGCAAGTAAAAAGAAAATTACATTTGCCATTGGAAATATATTGAATACAGTGGAAGGATTTGAGGCAATAGATGACAGGATGTAACCAAAGGAATAGGCAGAGAATGTTCCAACTTGAGTTATTAGAGTCCATAGACCGAATTGTTGACCAACAGATATACTATAATCGGAATTGTAGACTCCAGCCATAAAGTAGACAATAGTACAGTAAATAAAGGCTTGTAGATGTTGAAGTGGGAAATCTGATATCATTATTGATATAAAGTAAGATAAAGGTGTATACATCTGAGAAAAAGTTTCACGATTCATAACAAATCGTTCAGTCACAACATTAACAAGTCCTTTAATAGCTGTAAATGTTATTCCAACTGCAAAAAAAAATATGAAGCCAACAATATTTCTTGCATTTTGCATTATCAAGGAATCTTTATCATTTTCTTTAGGAAGAGCAAAGAATATACCACCCATAATTATCCCTAAAATAGTATTGACAAACAAAAGGCCAATGGTAGTTTTTGGATTACGCCAATTATTCAAAGAAGCTCTTTTTGTAAGAAGTGAAACCTCTCGGAAAAATTGAATAGGGGAAGGTATTGGAGACAAATATAAGATTCTGAGAAAAATGTTTCTGTTAGGAAGAGGTCTCATATTAGCTGAGTCAATATTACTTAAAGTCTCAAACAAGTCTTTAGGGTGATTAGTATCTGTATAACGTAAATAGTGCTCAATTGATCTAGTAACATTTTCTCCATATATAGAATGTTCATATATTTCATTAAGATCTTCCAATGAGTATATTTTTGGTGCTCTAAGACCAAATAATATATTACTAGTCTCATTAATAGAAGAGAGTTTCTCAAACTCATATAGAGGCTCTTCATTTACCTTGTTATCTACTATTCGTATCTTATTATCTATTATTTCACAGTTTAATTTTTCTTCAGCTCCCTTTTGTTTATGTGCTAATTCTACTAATGAAATTGCATCAATAATAAAATCTGCAGGATTATAATTCTTGGGGAATATAGTTAATACATCATTGTAAAATGTCAAAACATCCATAGGAGATCCTTGACCCACTACAAGACCCTTGCTCAAAACAAGAACTTTATCAAATAAGGAAAATGCCTGTGATCGAGGTGTATGAATTGAACAAATTATTATCATTCCTGTTGAATGGGCAAGATTTGCTAAATAATCCATCAAATCATAAGCTCTAGCTGCATCCAGTCCTGTTGTTGGTTCATCTAGAAAAAGTACTGGAGGCCCTTGAAGTAGTTCAATAGCAATGCTAAGACGTTTTATCTCACCACCAGAGAGTCCCTTTGAAGATATTCCCCCTACAAGAGTACTTTGTATATCTAAAAGTCCCAAAATATCTAAAATTTCCTCAATTTTCTCATTTCTCTCTTTTTTAGAATGATGAGGTAGTCTTAATCCAGCCGCTATATCCATCGTTTCTCTTACTGTCAAATAAGGAAGCATAAAATCTTTTTGTAGTACTAGTCTTGTTAAATAACTTAAGTCAATATCTGAGTAACCATTAACTAATATAGAACCAGTGACTATAAAATTACTGGCTTTTAGTCTACCAGACAAAGCATTCAATAATGTAGATTTACCACTTCCAGAAATCCCCATTATCCCGATAAATTGGCCTGGAGTTGCTATAAAATTTACAGACTTCAAAATGTTCATCTTCTTTTTACCTGAACATAAGCCTTCCTTATAGGTAGTATAGACACTTAAATCTTTAGTTATTAGTGTTATTCTCTTAGAGATTTGCAAACCTCCAGAAATATGTATTGGAATTTCTAGAGATTCATCCGTTATTGAACGTCGTATTGCAGCTGCACTTGACCCTCCCTTTGCACCATTTAAAGATGATATTTGATCACCTCCTCTACTGCTGTTTAATTCTATATAATTACTTATATTTGTTGGTACAACACCATAATCATAAATACTTAGAGATTTCATAATATTTGAGTGCTGAGGTTCATTTTCTACTGAATTGCGTTGTCTCCTTTGTTCTGTTGTCTCAAATCTAAAGTTAGCTAGTGGAAGAGGAACTGATAGTTACAAAAAGAAAATTTACTAAACAACTCTATATCTCAAGAAGACAAATCCTTAAACTTACCACTGTTCGGATTTCCATACATCGTGAGAATATTTTATTTCAATCGCACTCTCTCTAAAGGTATAGTACAAACGAATTTAAGCACGCTATAAATTAGCGCTTCATACTTTAAATTCTAGTGTCTAAAAAGTGATTGTCGTAATTGATTAAATTTAATGAAACAATTCTCACTAAATATTATGTTAATACTTCACCTAATTATAAATAAATGTGAACATACTGATCTTACTTTGTGATAGATACCAAATATAAAGACTAAATTTTAAGATTTAATATATCTAATTATCAAAATTCATATTTCCTTATATTTTCCAATAAATAATAGGTACAAAATGAAAATAATCACTTCACAGATCCCTTTCTTGGTATTTTAAACTAGTTGTGAGTCTTTGAAATTAAAATAAGCTAATTCAAAACTTTATTAGGCGGTGATTACTAAGATCTAGAAATCCCTCGAGGTTTCAGTTTCTCTTTCTTTTCTATTTCCACTTAAAGAAATATAATATATCTTAAAATAAAAATAATAGTAAGTTAACTTCTATTTAGGATAGCTGTAGCCTTTAATTTTTTTCTTTTATGCGAAAAGATGATCTCATTATAGTCACAATGAGAACTATATTTAGAACATATAATGATCTAGAGATAATATTCTGGTTTTTGATTATATATATAATGGTATCAAATGCAGCTCCAAACCATATAAAACGCTCTGGAATTTCGAAAATCGTCTCTAATAGATATGTTGATGAAGTAGAGGATTCATTCATGCAAGATATAATAGAGATTGGGATGTCTCAATATAAGTTCATGTATTATCACCAGGCTAAACGAGGTGGAAAAGGAAAGTGGTCTGATGCAATAGGAGGTCTACCATCTCCAAAACTGGCAAAAAAGTATATTTTAATATACTTTCAGAGTGAGCCATCTGAAAATTTCTTTAATGGAATTGGTATTAGTTCTTACATAATTATGTGCACTGAAATCATAAATTTATTACCTAGACTTCATAATGGTATAGCAGGTGGGATATTAATTGCTATACATTCTTTTCAGGAGGATGAGAATACAATAATTAGAGGATTTTGTACTGAAGCAGCTTCTAATTACTACTTTGAAAAGGAGGTAGACAGTATGGTCACGGAATCAGCAAAGCCAAACTCTTTATTACCACCTTTAAATAAAAGTATATTTGCAGATTATCAAATAGGAGGTAATTGGAATGATTTTGTAGAAAATTGTCAAGATTATTTAGTTATATTACAAGAGCAATTTTCTAAATATAATCCCAAAAGTAGATGGAGTTATATTGGTACACCGGAAGTTTCAGATTTTTGTGAAGAAATAGCAGATGATATCTATCCAAATATAATGTTGAGTAATAGAGAATGGAGTCACATTGTTAGATTGCAGGATAATCTCATTAAAATTCGTGGTGAACTTGATACACCCATCATTGGTATTCCTCAAAATCGTCCAGAGTATTATGTAGCAGGAAGATATAGAACATCTATGTATAGGAAGTGCCTTAGAGCCTTGTGGGATATGTTCCAATATGATGATGATATAGACTTAAAAATAGCTGGTAAGAATCAATATGAAACACTCAGAAGTTTTTGTAATACTGCAAAAAATTTTTATACTCGTAGTGGTCGTATTTCTGCAGTTCCTACATTAAATATTGATACTTCTCCGAAAAAATATAAAATTAAACAAAATCAAAAATTTCTTGTAGAAAAACTACTTAAGGAAGCTGAAGATCGTGTGTTAGAAGAAAAAAAGGTATCTGAATCTATTAGACGTAATATCTCAAAATATGAACACAGATATAGACCTAAATATGATACAAAAAGAGCAAATAGTACATCACGATATAAGGAGATCATAGTGAGTCCCAAATCTCCTGAGTCTGAAATAAAGTATTCTTTTGAGAAAGAGGAATCCAGTGCGTTTGACTTTGGTATAGATATTGCAACTAAAGAACTACAAGGATTAGGTGAAAACTGAACTCTGATTAGTATTGTAATATATAATTAGTCTATTTACAGGTACTCTATATATTTGCTTAGTTTCTGAGTATATTAAGTTCTTATACTCTTAATCTATTTATATTATATAGGTAATGATAGTTCCTAAATTTTGGCGCAAAGATCTTAATATTAAGTAGAGGTCATATTTCGATTATTAATATTATTACAAGTTATTGGATTGTCTAGTAGTATCATATCTGATAAATATAAAAGATTATATCGAAATGTCTAATTCTTGTGCTAGTAAGTTTAAAATTGCAATTTACTATATTACTTTAAAGTGTATAGACTGACGGATTTTTAGATCCAAATAATCTTCACTATAATTTACTACCGATATTAGATAATAGGGTCTCAGATACTCCTAGAATATTTATTAGAAATAAATCAATAAATTTTCAGATATCTACGCCTCTAATAAATTATACAAGAGTTTACAAGACACCTGGAAGAATACCAGCATTACTTACACCTCAAATTTATAATTCTATATCACCAATGAAAACAAGAAATTTACCTTGTCAGCAATCACAGTATCCAGTTCAAATTCCCGATTTACCTTACTGTATTCAGCCACAATTTGAGAACTGTTTTAATAGTAATGATATGAACATTTCTCTAGTAAATGGTTTTGGTATGGATAACCATAACCCTAAAGATAAGAACACTAAGGAAGACTTTAAGAGAGTAACAGACAATAATATTGAAACCATAATATCAACAAATCACTCAACACCAATTGCTTCCAGTAGAATTAAGGAAAATTCCAATATATCCCCTATAGTAAACGATTCAACAGGTGATGATTCAGACTATCAGTATTACAATGAATCTAGTTCTACATTTTCAGATATTACATGTGGTGATATTATGAGTGAAACTATACAAGCTAATATTCAAGATGAGAATTTATCTATTAGCAGTAATTATTTAAAATTTTTATCACCTAGTTTAGATAAATCTATGAAGGAGGCAATGATTGATATTCAAGTTTCTATGGAACTTGCACCCAACTCTCAAATTTCAGAAAAAAAATTGGATCAAAGACCATACTCTAGTAGTATTAGATTATCTCAAATTGATAATGTACCTTTGGATAGTAGAACTGACAATGAAGATATTAATTATGTGAAATTTGACAACCATAGTATACAGATTGATGACACATCTACTCCTAATGAAGTAAACTGGGATGAATATAACTTTAATTCTGATATCTTTGAGATATCATGCCCTTCATGTTTTAACTGCATTATTCCATGGGGTAAAGTAGCTTATGATAGTGATGATGAGGCCTTTGTGACTGGTGTATTACATATTGCTACAGAGACAACTCCTTTATTATTAGATAGCTCCAACTAAATAATGTTAATAAATAGATTAACCTGTTATTTTATTGTTTATCTTAGTTATATAGGTCATATTCCTTCATTTTTATATTTTCAAGAAGTTTTGTTAAACATAGACATGGGAAAGCATGTAGATTCCACGCCCCCAGAAATTGGCGCCTGATAGGGTATCGTAATTAGTGAAAGTGTGTTTTTGGTTTCACTAAAAAATTGATTATCTACTATGACATTTACAATAATAATTCCAAAAAATTTGCAGTATAAAGTTTCTTTTTTAGATATAATACTGGCCAAAGATGAGTTTTTATACTGATAAAGTCTTGGAAATCTTATTACTGCTGCAGATTTTACTATTTACCGTTAAATCTCATGTTAAAATAGATACAAAAGAATATATAAAAGGTCCTCTACAAGAAGAAAATTTCAACTGTAAATCTTTACAGTCAAATGAGTATAAATTAGCTTTGATTTTGAGGACTATTTGTAACGAGGTATTAGGAGAGCTTACTGTAAAAGAAAAAATTGAATATACTAGGGAAATCACTATTGAAGACATTTGCTTTATCATTAATGTACTATTAAGGGATTTTGATATGTGTGAGAATGAATTAATTACAATAAACCCTTTTATGAAGGTATCTTATTGTAATATAGAGATGCGATGCACCCCCCATAGTATAGCATATGAGATATGTATTAGGTTAAAGAGTGAAGCATCGAAAATTCCAGATTTTAGTGAATTACTGTCGAAATCAACAAAATACTTTGTTAAGAGTCACTTTACTAAAAATGCAATAGCTACAATAAATGAAGTTATGGATATATCATTAAATGAATTTCAGAAAGTAGATGGATCAGTATCCTCTTTAACTTTATACCCTCAAAGGGATTTAAATCACTTATCTGATGGACAATCTGCAGCTTCCAGTAAATCAGATGTGGAATTTAGCTTTAATGTGAATGTGGCTCCATTCATGCAATGTACAAATCGTCAACTAATTTTTACTTACTACCACCCTACAGATAATGCTAAGTGTTTAGGTCTAAATTTGGATCAGTTAGAGCTTGTTAATCAAATGCAATCACTATCCGTTACTACAGATAATATGAAAAGGATTCCAAGAGATTTAGCATGTACTATTATTTGGATGATATCTCAAAGGTGGAATAATTGTAGCTATGTCTTAAGTGAAATGATTGATATTAAGACAAAACTAGCTATTAGCTTTTGCAACAAGTTAGCTGAGATATCTCCAGCTAATTGTAAGTATTTGGTTCAAAATAAAAATATATCTACATCATTCTTAACATTTAAAGCTGTTAAATTACTTAGACTTATTGAGACAACACTTAGACTTAATTCTGAATATTTCCCAGAGTTTGAGATATCTGCAGAAGATGTAGCAAATGTTATCTTTATAGGAAATGGTAGGGAGATGATAGAAGAGAATGAAGAATACATTTTAAAGGCTCTTAGAGATGTAAGAGTATCACAAGGAAGGCAGAAATCTTCAGTATATGGTCGTAATCATGTATATAACCCAATTAGAACAAGATATAAGCAAATACCTCCTTATATGGAACATGAAAGCATTCTAGATCGTATTACTTATGGGAACCCCGATCTTGCTCAATGCGATGAAAAATTCATCAATTTTGACCCTTTAGCCATGAGACAATCAGAGCATTGGATAGATGAAAAGAATATGGGAAGCCATGAAAGAGAGTATATTGGAACTAGAGTACGCTTATTGAGCTATTATATACCCCCACCTTCTACATTTCAGCCCAGTGATCCATATAATTGGATATTAGGACCTTGTTCTTGGCTAGAAGATAAGCACAAAAAATTACCAAATCTTATAGCGGCAATAGCAACTGATAGAGGCTACAGACTTCATATATTAAATGCCTGCGAGTCAATATATGCTTTGGTTCATGGCTCAGGTGAATCATGCAGCAAGGTTGTTACTGCAGCTCTATTTCTTACCACTAATAAAGAAAATATTGCAGAAGCTACTGATATTTGCTCAGAAACTAGTATGAGAGCTGATATTCCCTTTTTTCGCAAGGAATCTGTTAGAGAATATAATACAGGAGTTAATAACCATGAGTTATATTTAGTTTATCAAGGGATAGTTCTAGCTTTGTGTATAGAGCTAGGAATATCGCTAGATATAGATGATATTAATCATATAATTTTTCAAGACTACCCAGTTAATGCTCATTTAGTCCCGAGAGTATTACTTAACTCTTTATTATATAGAGCTTTACAGCTCCCATCAGAATTTAGAACACGCTCAGGATTTTGGAATTGGCCCACACAGATGCACTCAACCTTAAGCAATGCCCAAGCAAGAGAAATTTTGGGGTACAGGGAAGTCCAGTTACTTTTTGAACAAGCTCAAGTACAGAGTGAAATAATGACTATACGTCAAGAATTACTTCCATATATCTTTAAAGAAACAAATTTAAAGAGTAATACCAATCCAATAAAGAAAAAAATGCAAAAATCTGAGATTGGGGAAGACCACACTCCATATAATTTAACAAAATCAAGGGAGTACTGGGATAAATACTATGAATATGAGTTTTTAAATGTAAGTGATAAAGATATAAATCCACTTAGGGCACATCTTGTAAGGTTAGAAAGACTCCATTTAGACTTGAGTATGGAAAGGCAGGCTATACAACGTCTGAATAAAGTTCTCCTAGCTTATATTGGTCATAAAATACATGACATACCAAAGTCATCAATTAACAGAAATTTCCATCCGATATACTCTCCTACAGTTTTTAGATCAAATATAGCAGGTAATAAACGAATTGTAGCAGGGATAGCCACAATAACTGCAATGAGAAATGTTCAAAACATTTTTTCATCCAAATCCCTCTCTAATAATTCAGATGGGGATACTAGCTTATCATATAATGTGAAATCAAAACCTTTTTATACAGAAATAATTGAGTGCTCATCATTAACTAACAAGGGCTTAGATTTCGCTTATTTTGTACAAAATATTGCAAATCTTCACTTTGAACTAAACATTTCCTTGGGAATTGCTTGTACTATTATATCTCATATGAATAATAATTTACCTATTGATGAGTCTTTCCAACTAGCTGCATTTGCAATACTCAGTAACCACCTTCAAGCTCTAGATAGGAATCAAATTTATTCTCTTTGGACTTTCATAAAACCAGGTATCTTGTCATATGGAGATCAAACACTAGTGACTCATGATTACAAGATACATACTTCTACTGAATCAGAGTTAGATACTTCTATAATAGATTTAAATGATGGTCAGAATTATCTAAATATGCAAAATTCTTCAATGTCTTCTAAAAATAATTTTGAAATATCTACACCTATAACTCCAGAAGTAAAGCGTCCCAGAGATCAACTGGTAATGAATGATGCACTAACTATTGAAAATGTCAATGAAAAAAGCATAAAGACTATTTTAAGAGACAAGGAAAATAAGGAAGAGGATACATCATTTAGAGAAAATAAACGAATTTTTAGAGAACTTAAAGAAACAGTATTACAACTAGATGGTCGAATCACAAGTTTGAAAAATAAACTAGAGCTAAGTGAAACTGGGAATCAATCAAAATATTTACAGAAAACCATTAGGACCTTAATAAATAAAAAAAATATTTCTATAAAACGACTTATTCACTTAGCAGGTGTAATCTCTGAAAAGGAGGTAAAAAAAGCCGATAAGTATAATATAAATATTCCTAATGGAATTAGAAGAATTGCTAAATTGCATCAAATGCGAAGTATTATTGAAGCTGATATATTAAAACTATCTGATGAAACTATTTACCCTGAAAAGAATAAAAGAATTCAAGAACTAAAGGCAAAATTAGAAAATATTGTGGGTGAAATACAACACCTCATTCAACTTGGAGGATATATTGAATCTGACTTAAGATGGTATAGTGATACTGAAAGATGTCTCAATAATTATATTCCAAGGCACAATCAAGTTTTATCAATAGAGCCCACAACTGGATTTGGTACTTTGTATTGGTATAAAGGTCAAAGTAGTAAAAAAGAAATAAGGACAGAATGCACGAAATCTCAAAGAAAGCGTTTCAAAATCATTTCAAAGGATATATATAGACTCTTATCAATTTCACTCAAATTTTATCCCATACCGATGAGCGAATTTGAACAAAATAACTTCATTAATGATAGTTATATTGACCCAAGACAAATTATATACTGGCAAAATCTTCTGTTTCTATTAAATATACAGGATATTTCACAAGGATGCAATTACTCAAAAACTTTGTTAAAAAAGCTTTTATTCTCTGTTTCATCAAATAATTTTGACTATATGGATACTCCTTTATTTATATTATGGTGTGCTGATCATATACGTAGTCGTCTTGGTAATGAAGACACTTGGAGAAATATCGTGGGACTACTTTGGCTTATATTCTTTGACCAACCTATTAAACCACGGGAATTAGTAGAAAAAAACTGGGGTCAAAGTATAAGATTTTATTAGGCACAATATAAAAAAGACTAGTAATATTTATACTATAATTACATGGCAATTTACAAATTTTTAGAAAAGAAATATCTAATATTTGCTTTAGGTAGTTCGAAAGAGTATCAATATTTCGTTTATTTGTTCTTGGTATTTTTATTCTCTAAAATATACTAAATAATATGTAATTCTTTTTTTCTTAATTCATATTGGTCTTTTATTAACTTCAACACCATATTTCAATTTGTGACTTTAACTTTACCAAATAATTGTAGGTTCGGGTTCTCCTTGTTTAGATTTTGGTATAAAAAGACACTTTTCAGTAGTATAGCCATTATCTATATATCCAAATATGGAGAAAAAACCAAATGTAAACAATTTAAAGATCCAATTATCTTTCAAGCGATTCCAAAGTCTTAGCATCTTATATTTTGAAGTATCTTTATTCGGAATTGCATAAGAATCTTGAATTGGGACGTATTCCTAATATTTTAAAAATAATATATAGATATTACATAGATGAGACTATTACTTACCGAGATAACATCTTCAATAATTTTATTAAAATTTAGAAGTTGGTTTAAATCTAGTAAGGAAAAGAAAAAGCTAAATGTAGAGTCAGCTTGATAAAGTGATTTCCATGAAAATGCTCTATTTACTAATTTAGCAGTATTTTCACCAATTAATTCAGGTGATGACTGAAGCTTTAAAATGATGTTTGTAATAGCTGTTGGTTGCTGGAGTGTGTAATGTAATTTTTTGAACTTTCTGTAATATGATATATATCGACTATGTATTGCAATAACACAAGTTGTTTTGAATTCTTCTGGTATATCCAATAATATTGTTCTCCATTCTAGTAAAGGAATATTTTGAATATAAGATGGAGACTTTAAAAGGGTTTCTAGCTCCTAAAGACAGTACGAAATAATATTTAGAGGTATGATCATAATAATATTATATAATAAACTCACTGGGCTTAATGTAAATGTCTTATTTTTATTGAGACTACTATTTATCTCTATATCAGAATAACATTGAGAAATCATTTGTAACTCAGATAATAAATCTGCGATAGAAATGAGATATGTAGTAGTAGTACTTATTATAACTTGTCTAGAATCAGTAGATAACATTACAAAGCTTTCTGTGATCTTCATATCATCCATATATTTGAGGAGTTGTTCATTAGTAAAATGTGGAGTATTCTCGTCAGAATCCACAGTTGTATTTTTAATTAATGCTTTAAATTTTCGAACATGATGAGAATCTATGGATTTTAGATGTTCTTCATCTCTGATTAAATTACATTGTTTACATACAGCTATTGCCTTTTGAGTAGATACCTTTAGAACATATCCAACATTCTCAAGTTGGGATTTCCATCCATTAAAAATAACTTCAAGAATTGTAGTAAATGGATCTCCAATATTATTGGTGGACTGTTTAGAACTTAACAAAGCAGAATTATTATTTGTATTTATTTGAAATTTATGGAATAAAGGTGTACCAGGAGTAGTCATACTCGATGTTGGAATATTCGCTTCATCTATTATAGGAGATGGTATAATATATGGATAAACTTCTTTTAGTATTCTAATATTATAGATTGTTTGGCAAATAGTATTTAACCAGAACTGTGCAGATTGCTGTTTTGAAACTTTGTTAATTAAAAAATTGTTATCTTGTCCACTAGAGGATTGCTTCAACTTCCTTGCAATTAGGGGTGGAACAACATTAGATGTGGATATTGCCCTTAATAAAATTCTTTCGATAATACTTAGAAATAAAAGAAAATTATCTACATTGTCCTCAAATAATGTTGAATATAATCCTAATAGTTCAGTTGGTTCCATGTTCATAGTATTTAAAGGTTGTAGCAATATCTTAATTCCGCTGCCATAAAATATATCAGGTAAATTATTAATATTTTCCCCGGCCTTCTGGATCATTTCATGAGCATTAGCTAAAATATCTGCTCTCATTTCAAGTGGAATTGATGAAAGAATTCCTAATATATCACCAAATCTTCCAACTACTTCTTCGGATTGAAATGAAGTATTATTCAAATTCTGCAATTCACGTTCATCAATTGTTGTTTCAGTTGTTTCTTTTTCATCTATAAAAGGTAACACAGAAGTTGACATAGATCTGAGCAATGATTGAATATTTGATAATGATGCCTTGCTTTTTGTAGAGGCTTCGTTCGGGGGTATTATATGAGATTTATGATAGTTTTCAATGATGCTATCATGTAGATTTTGCCTATTAGAACTTATATCTAATTTCTCAATACTTTTTAAATACAACTCATTGAGTTTCTTGTTTGTTAGTGGTAAGATATCTTCTGTAGGTGATAGTTGGAATGGGATATCTGTATCTTTCAGTTCCAACACACTGTCAAACTCTAATGAATTAAAAATAACCTCAGAATCTCCACTTAATTCAGATAATTGATCAATTGTTAGGCTTAAATCTACTTTAACCTCATTTTTATAAAGCTCATTTGTCGATACATCATCTAATTCCTTCATTGACAGGTTATTATTCAGTTGATTAAATTTATATTTGCTTGTTCTACACAATACACTATAAACAAGAGTATTTGAGACAAACAGTGATATATATAAAAATGGAATAGAAACCATCTATATTAAATATAAAAAAATCAAGACAAAATATTAAAGTTACTTCTCTATCATAACTACTGGAAAACTTAAAAAAGTACTCTAAAAAAGTACCCTAAAGTCCTACCTTATGCGCTCAAGAAACTGCCATGCGGGAGACACAATATAGTTGAGATTTGATCAAGTCTTCACTTATTTAAAAAGCTAGAAGTATACTACCCACAACAAGATGTGAAATTTGATCAAATTTGTTATGAGACATTATTACTGGAAGTAATCCAAAATAACTTACCAACCCTATAGGACACTTAGACAGAAGATTCAAGAACAATCTCTATAGTTACCAAAGACCAAAGTTTACTTCTTTTCACGAACAATAGCCAATATATCATCACCAGATACAAAGTATCTTGGTAATCTAGCTGGTTTCCTTACTAGAGTAGTAGTTTCATTAATTGGCTTAGGCATTGAATCTACTGCTTCCACTAGTATAATTTTGGGCTTTCGTGTTCTAGCTTCCTCTTCTGGAGTACTTCGTGGGAGAATAACTTCCTCTTCTACTGGAGTCCTTTGTGGGAGAATAACTTCCTCTTCTACTGGAGTCTTTTGTGGTTGAACTACTATAACTTCCTTTTCTAATGGAGTATCTTGTGGTTGAACTACTATAACTTCCTTTTCTAATGGAGTATCTTGTGGTTGAACTACTATAACTTCCTTTTCTAATGGAGTATCTTGTGGTTGAACTACTATAACTTCCTTTTCTAATGGAGTATCTTGTGGTTGAATAATAATGAACTCTTGAGTTTGATCTCCCAATAGAACTCGGTTCTTCTTTGAGAATCCACTGAAACACTTCTCATTCTTGGTATTGCCACTACATTTAGAACGCCTGAAACAAGAGTGACTCTTGGAAGTAAGTACTATTGGTTGTTGTACAAATACCATCTCTTTAGGAATGGAAGATGACTGCTCTACATATACAGTGCCATTACATCTTACAGCTGATAACTTCTCATAACTTTGGTCCTTAGGTAAATATCTGAAATTTCCATCTTTATTCCTGCCTGAACAACATTTCTGTTCCTTAACAACAATTGGAACTGGTTCACAAAGCAGTGATTGACACTCTACTTCAGGCTTATACACTACTTTATTAGGTTGAACTTTACAAATAATTGGTTCTAGTAGTTCTGGTTGTGGTTCTGGTTGTGGTTCTGGTTGTGGTTCTGGTTGTGGTTCTGGTTGTGGTTCTGGTTGTGGTTCTGGTTGTGGTTCTGGTTGTGGTTCTGGTTGTGGTTCTGGCTCTGGTTGTGGTTCTGGCTCTGGCTCTGGCTCTGGCTCTGGCTGTTGAATTTCGTAAATAACTGGTTCACTTACAGACTTAAGATTTCTTGTCTTCTTCTTACAACACTTCTTACAACACTTCTTATGTTCAACAATAATTATTTCTGATTCTGGTTGTAATTCTGGTCCTAGTTCTGGTCCTAGTTCTGTTTCTAGTTCTGTTTCTAGTTCTGGTTCTAGTTCTGGTTCTAGTTCTGGTCCTAGTTCTGGTCCTAGTTCTGGTCCTAGTTCTGGTCCTAGTTCTGGTCCTAGTTCTGGTCCTAGTTCTGGTCCTAGTTCTGGTCCTAGTTCTGGTCCTAGTTCTGGTCCTAGTTCTGGTCCTAATTCTAGTTGTTTAACCTTACTAGACTTCTTACAACTTCTATCTTTCTCATTAGTTGCACCGAGTTCCTTCTCGCTATATTTACCACTATGTCTTTTATTTTTTATGCAACAACTTCTAGGATGCTCCATACAACTCACTGTACATAAACCACAGTCAGTAGTGCACTCCCTCAAATACAAACCTTCCAGAGGTTTATGTTTTGATAATGGCATCTGAACTTGAGACGGGACAATTAAAATCTCACCAGCTGGATCTAAACTATTTGCAAAAGCAAATATTGAACTTCCTAATATGAATAAATTAAGTAATTTCATACTTGTAAATCCCAATCAAATAACTTTACGAAATGAAAAAGGGTTTATTAAGAAAACTTAAAACAAATGAAGGTACTCTCTTTAGTTAGAGTAGACAAGAGAGTAACTCAGTATCTATCAGTCTAAATTATCCGCATTTCTACGGTACAATACCATAGATAGGTGTGCAAATACGTGATAGTTATAATTTCTATTATCACTGTGACGGTAGTGGATACCTGGAGACGTTGTGTCTTGGCGCTCTATATCCTAATAAAGTACTTAACGATATGAAACTATTGAGGGAATACGGAGTACTAGTAGCACTTTATATTGGAAACATTGTTGAAGACACAGAATGTAAATAATTACCTAATATATAAGATTAAAGTAGAAGAAGTACAGAATTCTAGAATATGGTCCCATATAGATAACTATCTTGTAGAGGTGACAACTATTACTTGTCCAATCTTTGAACTCTCAAGAACTGCCCGAGGAGTCATCCCCCTAAGTTTTCTTGTACCCGATTCCTTTTTAGTTTTGGTAGGTTGAATAGTATCTAATTTAGCTAGATTCACAGTAGTATTTTTGAAGTTAGATTGCACGGTTATATCCACTGGATCCTGATATTTAGATGGACAGACAACTAAGTTTACATCCAAAGGTGCTGACGTTACGTTAGTCTCAGTTACCAATACTTTTTCACTAGGAACATTATGTAATGTTATTTGTTCAGTGAAGTTTTGAGATTCAATTTGGGTTGACTCAGACAATAGAAGCTTCTGAGAACTATGATCAGATATCAATGTGTCAATTATTTTTTCATCAGCTAGAGAGTTTGACTGGGTGAGTATGCTGGACTCTATACTTGTAAGGTTGGAACTTTGCTGAGTAGTATTTTCTGGATAGTCATGAGGAAAAGTCACAGTAGTTTCTGGGTGATCATAAGGAGAAATTACAGTAGTTTCTGGGTGATCATAAGGAGAAATTACAGTAGTTACTGGATGACCATGAGAAGAAATTACAGTAGTTTCTGGGTGATCATAAGGAGAAATTACAGTAGTTACTGGATGACCATGAGAAGAAATTACAGTAGTTACTGGACTATTATGAAGAGAAGTCGTAGTAACTGGATTATAAGTATCAAGTCTTATTTCATAAGGTTTGATACCTTGTTTTGCATCTGTATTATTTATTGCACTAGTGTTCTCGAAACTTGTCATTTCCACTTCACTAGTTAATTTTTCCTTTAAGGACAAATTTGATTGGTTGAATTTATCCTCTTTATCCAAAAATGATACTTCTGATATAGGATCAGGCAGATCATGCATGGAATCCTCCAATGAGGAACTATACTCTTCTGTATTTGATTTTATAGATTCTACAGTAAGAGTAGATAGGCTCTCAGGGTCTTCTATTATAGGGGATCTCAATTGAACAAGTTTACGAGAAGTATGGTGAACCGAGTTAACAACTGGTGATAGGTTATATTCATTAGACTTCATTCTTTCTTCAATTTCATTAACTCGAGCTGCAACTATACCATTCTTATTCATCTTTCTTGTTACTAGTTTTTCTGGTGAAACTGAGCTTATAGACGAAGTTAATTGACTTTTGATGGGTGATGAACTTAGTTGAGGCACTCCCACAACTAATATTGGAGGTGTTTTTATATCATCTAGTGGAGATGGAAAATCTGTCCTCTCCTCATATGTTTCTACAGTTTCAATAGGCTTAGCGACTTCTATAGTTTCATCTACTAATTCTGATTTATATATTGGACTAGTTTCAGATTTATTAATTACAACCACTAACTTTGCAGGAGATTTTATATCATCTAAAAAGAGTTCTGAAGAACTTTTCTTAACCTCAACAACTGTTACTGTTGGAGTCATGTCAACAATTTCTATTTCCTTTTCATATATTTCTTCAGATATAGGTGTGTTAGAGCTATTTAGAACAGGTACTTTAGTTAGGTCATTTTGCTGATTTATAATTGACTCTAAATATACTATGTAATCTTCATCCTTAGCAAGTTTCGATTTCTCCAATTGGTCTTCACTCTCTTCACTACCTATCATATTTTCACTTATTTTAGATTCTTGAAGACGTTTATTAAGGAATTCCATCATTTTATTTTTTGCCTCAGTATCTGCTGAATATATATCTATGTCTCCATATTTTCTACCTTTTCTTTTCTTCCTGCCAAAGCACTTAATTTTAGATTGAAGACCATCTCTGCACTTTTTTGGTTTTGAATTACTAGTATTGATATCTCTATATATAGTATTATTAATATCTTTCATAGATACCAACTCATTAAATCTGTTGTTCTTATAGCAGCTAATACAACTTGACTTATTTTCAAAATGATCTATCGAGGTCTTCTCAAACAAAGTGTCTCCCTGATAAGTTAAAATATCATTAATCTTATCTGTGTTAGTGACATTAATTTGTTCATGTTCACCAGTTGCATTTACATATTCTTCAATATAATAAACTTTTTCAGTTTCAAATACTTTTTCAGTGTCTCTTATAGGACTTGAACTATTTATATCCAAAATTTCAGCTGGTGTTTCAATGTTGGGGATTACTTGTCTATTAAAATGTACTTGAGTATAATCCTGTCTTTGGGAGTTATTCTTATTCATATCTATTTCTAGATCTCGTTTGATTATTTCATTATCAGTTGAATAATTTTCTCTGAGAGTTTCTTCTTCCTCTATATCTTTTAATCTAGCTTTTAAGATACTTTCTTCTCCCTTAAAAAGTGATAACTCCCCTTTAGTATGCTTCAATTGAGCCTCTTTATCAGCCAAAGTACTTATATCTGTTATATTCTCAACATTTTTAAGTACGTCTTTTTCAGGTCTAACTCCTCTTCCAATCCCTTTGAGTTTTGCAGAAACTATTGATCTAGTTAGTTTCTCTTTTGTCTCAGATCTTAAAACAAAATATGACTTTTTTACTTTCAAAGGAGAGGTTGCAGATCTAATAGTAATTCTGTTCAATATTTTAAAGTTATCTGTAACAGGAATTTGTAATACAATGGTCTTAGCTTTTATAAAAGTATTATCAGTGGTGTTGATATTAGATATAACAATACCATCAAATTCGCTAATCATCTGAACATATGATCCATCAGTACATATCCCCGATACTAACAAGGAACCTTTCATAAATCTAGAGCCTCTTGACATTATGTTATCTATGGTACCATTGCAAGGAAAGGGGACCCCAACTACTATATTTGTATATGCATCAGCCAGGTTATATAGGCTAAAGTACAGACTGAAATAGACTAATAGACTAAAAAAAATAGACATATCCCTTTTCTCAAATAAAATGTGAATTGCTTAAACTTAACTTGTAGGTTACCCTTCTTTTGGGCCACAGGAGACTTATACTATTTCTTAGAATACAAGTCCCGGTACCTAATGTAGTGGTACATAAGCGCCAAAAATTAAGTACATCTAAATTTAAATGACTAAAAATTACTCAATCTATAAAAATTAAATAGTAAATGACTAAAGTTTACTTCGAAATACCAATGGGAGTCTAAATTTCTTTTTTTGAGATATAATAGTAGGGTGATCCTTCTTACTACTACGCCTAGATTTAGATATATTAACTTTTGGTAACTTCTGTGTTATTTTAACAGTCTTCGCTTTGTCTCCTGCCTCAGTAGATCGCTTTTGAAAAGCAAAACCTATAGCCATTATCGCATATGTTTCTTGGACTCTAGTTCCTGTTCCAGTCCAAGTAAGATGATTCTTATTCATTTTATTTCTTGCTACCTTTTCATCTGGGACAACTGCATAATCTACACAAACTGCAAGTAAGTTCTGACCTTTCCAAAAATTTCTTCTTTGTAGATATGATGGATATTGAGGGTTTGAGTACTTCAAAAGTTTATATTTTAAGTCTGATGAGTATAGATCTATACTAGAAGGAGTTAACAAATCCAAAGGATTAATAGATTTGTCAATAAGGCTTGAGTTTGATTGTATATATCCAATTCTTATAGCTCCTATTTTTCCAGGTTTACTATAAGCAACAGCTTTGGAGGGTTGGCCAATTGTTATAGTAGATATTCCATCACTACATACAATATGTAAAGCTGTGATCTGTTTCAGAGGACCCAAGTGTCTGGATTCTTTATATGGAGATGGGAGTACAACTGTTCCATTTTTAAGAGCTTCATAACTCTTGTCACTAGACTTATCCTCAGTTCCATACCCAATCCTCTCAATATAAGTCCCATTTGGACATAAAAAGGATGCTGAAAATCCTGAATACTTGTTTTTCAGTGATGGAGATTGTGACATGTTGCAAGTTGAAACAATCTTATCTAAATTTATCTGTGGAACTCCAGTATATAGAAACCCTTCATAGGGCCTTTTAGCTATTGGAGAAGGCTCTTCAAAATAGGATCCAAAAGATACAATACTAAATTCATTTGAAATCAGAATTCCTCCACTAATATTTAATAATCCTATACAAACACCTTTCCATTTACCTCCTCGCCAAATTAAAGATTTGAGATATTCCCTTTTTTGAGTGCTTTTATCTGTAGAGAGAGCTTCAGTAGCAGATGTATAATACTGAGCTCTTCCAACGTTCATAACAATTGTTGACACAGGGAAAGATTCGTGTATAAGTTTAAAAGATACTGGATCACCAGGTATAGTTAATAAAAGATCTTCAGTTATTTGATTACTCTTATTTACAACTAAAGTCTTTTTTAGGGTTTCAAATTGAGATCTGGGAAGTGCATCATATCCAAGAAATACCTCATGAATTTCCACTACCTTCTGTGTATGTGTTGGATTTGCATCAGCTCCAATTTTTAAAACAGATTCGCCATCACTACAGAAAAATCTCATAGCTGCAATAGAGCCCCCAGTATTTTTAGATTTCAATAATGGATTTAGCATGTCCATTGTCTTAAGATTCCTCTCAAATTGCCATGTGACTTCAACTCTATCAATAACACTATTAGTTGGGCAGATATAATTAATAGTTCTTAGTGCTGTTTTTTTGCTTAAAGGGTGTAGGTGACCCTGAACTATGATTTCTTCAATATGTTTGCTAAAGAGAAACTGTGCTCTAGGAGAATGAAGCATTTCAGGGCAGATAAAATTCTTGGGATCAACTTCTAAGGTCCCACTACCTTGAGATACATATCCATAGTAATCATTTATAGCTTTTTGTACTGTTGGTTTGAAGGGGTATTCAAAATAAAACCCGAGGTTTCTGATGAGTCCTCCTGGAGATATATCAGCGCATACCTGTGTGAGTACCCCACCCTTCCAAATTTTTTGGGGATCTTTAGCAGAATATAGTTTTGAATTAAATAATAAAGTATTTTCAACCACTTTAGGATCTTCAACTGTTTGTAAAACTTTGAAATAAGCAATAGGAAGTAAATTATCAGGTATAAACAATGCTGAAGAAAATATAGGCTTTGAAAAAGCTGCCAAAATACTTTTTATATTATCAAAAAATAAATCTTTAGTATTAAAAGCTGTAGAAATTAATTTCAGTCCATTTATATTTATATTAGGTTTGGAGTTGTTAGAAAATTCAGTCATATAATTTGGGGATCCCAAAACTATAAATGATTCAAAGGAATTACCACAATTAAACCTCATAGATTCTATAAGATCTTCATTTAAGTTTACAAGTATCTGAATCGATTCAATTGAGAATCCTGGAGGACATTTAAATATTCCCTGAATAGATCTTAAGCTACTACGTACGGTGTCCGTGTTTTCATCATGTTCATTAATGTTCTTTTTTATCATTTCACATTTAGAAGGGAATTCAGTTGTTGCAGATTCGAAAATAATATCTCTAGATAAATAAACTTGTGGAAAAAAAGGTTTGATAAGCTTTGCAGTAGAAAAACCTATATGACCAATAAGAAAAGTTCCTTGTATTATACGACTACAAATACCAGTAAAAAATTCACCAGAGTAACTATTTATTCTATTTATTGGATTAGATATGTAAACTTGAGGAACTGATTTTATTATATTTCTAGTATTTAATTGAAAATCTACAAATTCATTGGCATAGATAAATGTTGGGCCAAATGTGTAACGATCAACAATTTCAGAGAGTCTACCCAAACCTGAAGTGCTTTGAGTATCTATAAAAGCCTCAATTTGAAGTTTTCCAGTAGTATATCCAATTAATAAATTATTTATATTACCTAATTTAACATCAGATGTACCACGAACTATACTTTTTTCAGATTCACTTTGGATCAAAGCTTTTAAATTTTTATCTTGTAAAGTTTGAGAATTAACCCAAGACTCAACTTTCGGAATAGAATCTAAAATATTCCAACTTGTCATATTACTAAGAGGTTGCCCTAAACTTACTGATGTAATGTAATCATTACAAAGAAATTTTAACATTAAAATCTCACCATTTGATACAGTTCTATACTCATTTTCTTCAGTCATATCTAAGTTAGATGTAGATGTATCCTGGGAATCAAAATCTATAGAATCAATAAGAGCATCTTTTTTCCAGTTTTTTTCTTCAAGATCTTTAATCTCAGAATCTAAATTCACCTTAGACCCCACTTTCAATTTTATTTCCTCTTCAAATCCTTGAGATATGGACCTTAAGCTCGCAGCAGATATATCATCTCCTAAAATAGTATTTATTCCTATTATATGGTATCCTTCTGGGCAACTTATAAATGGATAAATATCCTCTGCAGTACCCGGTGCTACTCCTGAAATAGCTGGACAATTTTTATCTAAAACTTTACTTAATGATATTTTAGGTATACCAGTATATACAAAACCACTATATGGAATATTACTTAATGGCCTCTCAGAAGCAAATTTTATCCTCAAATTACTTATTATTGGATTTTTGAAACGAGAATTTAAAATAATTACTGCACACAAACCTGTTGGTTTATCGCCTAATAATGTATAAGAACGATAAAGAGATTCACTTTTTGACATATATGAAAGTAACATTTTTGATGGAATTGGATATTTTTCTTCTTTAACTACTTTAATTAGTCTAATTATTGGTTCCACAGCATCATAACCAAAGGCAACTTCATTAATGCCATCTCCTTCATACCTATCTTTAACATTAGTTGAATTATATTCTTGAGAACCCAGATATATATTAGACAATCTATCACTACAGCCAAAACGTAGTCCTGTTATATAATAATTTAAGGAATCTGTCATGTATTCAATACTGCTTATCACGCTTTTATCAGGGCAAGTAAAACTAAGTACTAATGGGCTACCATAATTTAACAATTGTTCAAATGGAATAGCAGTCGGTTGACATAAGTTCTCTGTTATCTCATTATATACAGAATTTGAAAATATTCCTTTATCTGATACTGAAAAACCCTTGTAATTTGCAGCAAAACATGTTACGAGGTGCATGCGGTATATTATTATAATGATCGTAAATAGTATTATACCAGTCATTCCTTTATATAAACTGTTAAAATACATTTCAAACTCATATTTTGCTTGGTATCCAGGTCTTAGTTATATTTTTATCTTCCTTAGTAATATAATATTAATATAAAACCCTAAAAATACCAGGCGGGTACTTTTTAGATCTAGTACTTTTAACAAATTTATTCTAGTTATATAAAGTAGCCAGTTACCATATTTATCACCAGAAGATAAGTTATAAAATTAGAAATCTAAGTTTACCATACTTATCTTCCTTCTAAGTTTATATATCCAATTGAGACACATATATTGATATGTATTATCTTCAGAGTAAGTAAACCCTAACTATAATTACATACAATCTTAAAGGTATACAAAGTAATTTATTTAAAGTCCCCTAAATTAAAAGTATTTGAACTAGTAATTATGGTATATATAAGAGATGCTTTGCAATAGTATCTTTAGATAAAATTACTAAAATACTATTACAATATAAAATATTAGTTAAGCTATATATTTCCTTTAAACAGAAAAAAAGACAAGAAGATTACCAAATGTTATTCACAAATTTTCTATAAATTGTAGGATTTTGTGAGAAAACCAGATCTAGATAAGACGAGGAATACTAGACAGGAATACTAAACGCGGGAAATATGGAACTTTGTATAGTAGATACTCTCTTAGGCTACTTGACTGAAAAAAGAAATCGAGACAACTTGAACTATTTTACCCTTTGTTTTTTTTTCTTTGAGAAAAATGAAGTTAATTGGACAAACAACTATTTTTTTGAGTATATTTCTGGTACTACTAGTATTTGATATATCTGTTTCTGAAGGTACCTCTGAAGGAATTAACTATAACTTGATGTCATCTCAATCCAACGACTCGAGTAGTAATTCAACAAGTGGAGAACTCGGAATAATTGGTGTTGAAGGAGGAGAGAAGGAAGTAGAGGTAGAAGTAAAGGGAGTAAATGAAGAGGAAAAGGAAGAAGAACAAGAACAAGAACAAGAACAAGAACAAGAACAAGAACAAGAACAAGAAGAAGAACAAGAACAAGAACAAGAACAAGAACAAGAACAAGAACAAGAACAAGAAGAACAAGAACAAGAAGAACAATATGAAGAACAATATGAAGAACAAAGTGAAGTACAGAGTAGAGAACAAAGTGACGAACAAAGTGACGAACAAAGTGACGAACAAAGTGACGAACAAAGTGACGAACAAAGTGACGAACAAAGTGAGGGCCGAAATGAGGAACAAGAAATTGAAGGTGAGGAAGAAAAGGAGAATAGTAAAGGTGAACCTTTATCTTCACTAATTAAAAATCAATCAAATTCATTGGGAATTTCTACAGAGCAATATACTCATATGTCAACGAGTACTATATCTACAATCACTGAAACTCCATCTCAAGAATTAGCAGATATAAATGAACAAATTCAGAATGAAGATAATGAGGTACAAAGTAAAATAATTGACTATGAATATCCAACTCCTTTGTTGAAAACTTATGAAATGCGAAAGTTAGTACCTCATGGCAGCTCTTCTAATGTCATAACAATTCAAGGATCTCGCAAAGGAACATCAATATTGGCAATTTTTGATATATCATCCTTGATTGAATCTGATATTACAGCTGATGATATTGTTTCAATAAAATTATATGTTCATAAAATTGGAGGGACACGTACTCTACCAATTCGTGTAGATTTACTAAGTCTTCCTCAGAATTCAACTCGTATTGTTAAGTCTGCACTATTGGGTACTTTCCAGGCCGTTATCCCTAGAACTCCCAATTCTTATATATCTGTAGATTTGTCTGCATCAATTCCTAAATTTTTCCAAGGGAATCAAAACAACTCGACTATCTCAATTTTGTTATCAGCCTGGTCTAAAACTCGCTTTGGAGATATTTTGACTTACTCATCAGGAGATAAAAGGGATGGTTTAACTTTGGTTATAACTGCAACAAAACAACCTAAACAGTCAGTTAGTGATGAACTTAATACACCTCAGATGAAGAACAATTTATCTGAATCAATATTTAGTGGGATAAATTGGTATGCCTCTTTAGGCTTTGTATCTTTGGTTATTATCATTGTCCTTGTATTAATGATGATGTAAATTTTATCAATGAGACTTTAGGAACTAAATAGTTATAAAAATCGGGGTTATCTCCAAATGTAATGTTTTCACATTAGATGTACAATACTAGTGATAATTTGATTGAGATACATCTTTGATTTATAATTGTAAATTAAACTTCATCATTAATTCTTCTTTTTCATGCTACAAATGGAACTTTTACGTTCTTGTCTATCTACTGGAGTGATTCCTGTGGAATTTTAATTGATTTGTGAGAACATTTAAAATTCCTAATGGCTAATCACATAATTATTAGATGATTGCCCACTTGGGGCGGGGGTTTAATACGGGGGAGTACACTTGCATTTTAAGATCTCGAGAACTCTAAAAAGTTATTTGCAATTGTTTGGAACTAAGGAGATTCTATAAAGGTGAAATAGCAATAATATAATTAGTCGAGTATAGAACTTGCCTAGAACGTTCCTGTATATAAGATGAATAAGTTAAGGTTTTTAACAAAACGAAATGTGTGGTTCATTACAATCTCAATTCTTAGTCTTTTTATAAATGGGAATGCTAAATATATGACACTTCCACAAGTGGATTATATTGAAGCTCCAGTAATTCCTGAGGTTATTAAGAAACCCAAATATTCTATGAATAAATATCGATATCAAATTGCATTAGAAGATCAGAGAAATCAAGATCTACATAAGAAGAGAGTCCTTATGACTGAGTTAGAAGCTCAATTAGCAAAGATCTTACATTGGAGAATAATGAATGATGAAAATTTACTAGTACCAATTGATTTTTTGGGGATTGAGAAGTTAATGATGCAACTTTTGCGTAATTTTGGGTTTTCTGTATCTAATTGTCAAGTTCTATTAATTGATGAAGGTTTTTCACATGAGAAATCTCTTGAATATTGTTTAAATTTAGAACCTTTTGGAACTATAGAATGTCATGCATTAACATGGATTGATTATTCTATTGTGGTTGACATGAAAGAACGTATGAAACGTCGTGGCATGTTAATGGAGACAAAAGATTTGTGTAGATTTGTTGAACGTATTAAACCATCTTTAGTCGCCAAACCAGAAAAGAAATCTCTTTTTGGAAAATGCCAACTAATTGTAAATGACGAACTTTTATCTCAATATGGTGTTACTAATATTGATAGTGACTTGCTATGTACATTAATGGATTACACAATTCAGAATCCTTGCACCTCTCTTTCGGTTAATGAGTTATCTGAAGTAATGAAAATTGGCTTACATTTAGGGCAATTTTTATATCCAAGATTATTTCCTATTTTTGTCAGAGATCTTTGTACTGCTAGAAAAATGATGAGACGCGGTCCGACACGTGAAATTTGCAGAAATGCAGTTACTAAAGTTTTAATTGATAAAGCCTATGCACTCAAAGACCAAATCGTTACTAATGATTGGCTATTCTATACTGAAATTTGGAGATCCTGTGCTTATGTATACAAGAAGAAAGCTATAGGTGCTCAGAAGACTAATTTAGATAAGGAATTTTTTGATATATCACTTGGAATTAAATGGTCTGATGGAACGTTCAGAGGCATTGATTCTGATTATCCACCTAGTCCTTATGCTCGTATTCATGGTAGAACAATTGAGGAAGAATCAGATACTCTTGTTATGTCTATCTTTGATAGAAAAATTGAAACTGAAGATTTAGATATAATTAGTGATGATACAGTTGAATTGTCCAATAATGAGGTTGTAGTTCCACGTCGTAAATGGGTTAGTTCTGGGATTGTAAATAGAATTGAAACTCCTGATGAATTTTTATGGCCAGTTAGAGAAGGAGTTGCTCTTAATACAGTTCAAAAGATGTGGGCACATATTTTGTTTGGACTTTATAGAGATTCTGGTAATAAAGCTTACAGATTAGAAGATTTTGAATTGTTAAGTAGTAGAATTGATCCTACTAATGTGTTTTCTACATGTCAGCGTTTGATCTTTGGTAAAATTAAAAAGTATCCCGGTACCCAACGTGATGGTAAAGGAGGAAGATTTACAGAAAAACAGATTGCGGATTGGTGTGCAGCTATAGATGGTACACGCAGTAGAGTATGTTTAGGTTTACCTACTCCAGCTTTTCTCTGGTCTAAGGAAATTTTGCAAAATTTAACTGAATTACGTCAGGATTCGAATTTTGCTATTGACCAACGTGATGTTTGTGCTTTAATGAATATGATGCAACCATGGAATTACTCTAATAAGAAGGGATTTACTGCTATGTGCTTGCAAACTCTGGAGACATCTAATATATTGGATAATAAATCTATGGACAAGTCTTTTTCAGAGAAATATGGGTTAACTGAGAATGAATCTAGACAATTATGTATCTTATTCAAACCTGCCAACCATGAACGATGTCTCAAATTATCAGCTCAGGATTTATCTGTTGCTTATTTATTAGCTAATAAATTAGGGAAAATTAAAAAAGAAAACAAAGTACTTAAAGTAACATATAATGCTGCTTGCCAAGTATTAGACCGTGTTAAATCGACTGGTACAAAGCAACACTGCACTTTAGCTGTTGCTGAATTTGTTGGGAATATTGCAGTGGAAAGTAGAGTTACTGGAAGTGTACTTATTGAGGGAGTGAGGAATATATGTAATGAACTTTTTGAAAAATCAGAATCCAAAGAAAATCTAAGTGTTATCAGAGATATAATTGAAGATATATATAGTGATATTTCCAAGAATATGCCCCCAAATCCAAGAGATATTGATATTGTAGAAAATATAAAGGATCTTAACGAAGATATTGAGTTTCAATTTAAATCTAATAAATATTTGTATGGACCTTATCAATATGACGATTCAAGGAAAATTTTTGGTCCCAAAGGAAGTGGTGACTTTTGGAGTCCTTTTCATGTCTCGTCTACTGACCAAGTACAAGGTATTTATCTTAATCCCAAACTTAAAGTGAGCCTTAAAAGCCCTCATTTCTCCAATGTATCCTTAGAATTGTTAACAATCTCAGGTAATGGAATATTTGGATCTTGGGCTGAAACAATGCAAAGTACTTATATTAGAGTATCACCTCCATCTACAGTGCATTCAAATTTATATATTCCACCATTTAGCCGTATTGCAAAAAAAATCAATACAAACCGTGAACTTGTATTTACAAGTTGCTTGTCTGTTTTAAAAAAGAATAAGATCTCTGAGGAAATTGCCAATGAAGTTTGTAAATCTATAGACCCCTATTCATCACCTGCCTGTCATAGTTTATTTATAGTATTACTTCAATATACTGAGGATGTTCATGATTACATAACAAGTGCTAGCAATGGAAAAATATTTTATGATTTTTCAGACTTGTGTAAAATAATGTATGTGTTAAATCCTTTGCAATATAATGATGGATCCATTGGTAATGCTGCTCAAGTCTGTGTTTCCTCATCTATTATGGTAGATTTCCAGAGGAAATATTCAACTTCTGATTACTTTATGAGTAATCTGTGTTCTAAAATAGACCTTACAAGAACCCAATCTTTTGCTAGGATTAATTTATCACAAAGAAAACGAGTTATGATTGCAGCTAAAGTTATTTCTACTAGTATAGCCAAAAGTTATGAATATGTTTATATGACAAAAGGTGGAATCAATTGGGCTAGGAATGTTCCAAGAGTTAGCTTTGAAAATATGATCAATTTAATTTCTAATACAGGAGATGAAATTGCAGATGAAGCGGAATGTGAAAAATCTTGTAATTCAGATGGAGTATTCTTTAAGAATGTACTTCCAGATTACTCTATTTGTATGAAGGCATGCATGGTATCTGTTGATGATAGATCTAACGGCGACCAACGATATGCTAGATATCAAGGTGTTGGTACTCATAAAAACCCAAGTCGACATACATGGTGGCAATCTTAATATTTCCTTTATTAAGTAATGAAGTCTTCTATTATCTGGGCTCAATTACAATTTAAATGAAACAGACTTCGTTTTATTGGGAGAGATATGATGTTATCAACAATAATACTTTATTTCTTAATAAGTTGTATTATTATTTTCATATCTTCCTAAGAAATAGATTTCCTATAGATAATGTTAATGAATTTGCAGTAATTTCTAAGTTCGAATAAAATCAACTCTAACTGAAGAATTCCAAGTTTTGTGGGATTCAAGCTTTTGAAATAGATGATGGGGTTGGGGTGTGTACTACTATTCTATATTCCTCTCTAGTTTAGTTAGATTGCATATTAACATCTACTTTTCTAACATTTATTATCTTTAAATGTATATATTATATATTTCTAGTTTCTTAGTTTTATTATATATTATTTATACATCAAATACGGAATTTTTCAAAGTTATACATTGACATTGAATTAACACTTAACTCTGGAATCTCCAAAATTTAAACTAGTAAATATGTAGATAAAAATACATTTATTACTAAATTTATTGATGATGAATATGTATATTGTAGAAATGAAGCACTTATAATATTATACTTTATTTTCTAAGGGAATACTTTATAAAAATTAATTGCAAAATAAAGATCAAGAATATTAATAAAAAGTCCATTTTCAAAATAGTTACAAAAATAGTTGACTAAATGATGATATTAATATATTGTATTTAATTCTAATTAATTACTAGATACAATAAATAATATTTTAGAATCTTATATTAATAAATTTATTATTAGTGAATAATCTAAAGTTAGTATTACAAACTTATTATAAGATATTTAACTATTAGTTATATACAAATTCATTCTTAATAAATAGACTCCTAATATAATCTATTATTATATAAACAGTAAAGTATACCTCAAATATACTTTAGGGTTCTATTAAGATAGTGAATAGGATCTATATATTATCTATTTATATCAAAATTTCTATTACTTTTATCCCTTCAATTGTATTAATTGTCATAGTGTATAACAAATCTGTATTGAAATTTCCTAAGGTTGTCTTATACTATATCGAATAACAATCCCGTGAGACGGATACCCGCTAATTTATGGCGGTAAAAACTAAGCGTGAGATTAAGGTTAGTCATTTTGTTAAATATTTGGTAAATTTTAGGCTAAAAAAAGGGCAGTATACAACCATTTTATACAATTTGATATATTACTATTATATTTATATGTACTATTAATTCATTACTGTTTATAATTTTAGTAAAATGATGGTATCTGGAGAATATGAATCGAAGACCCAAAGAAATAGTATATTTCAAGAAAAATTGAATAACGGTATATATCTAGGAGCTAAGAATATATCTTACACAATAAGAAATGGGATATATGTTCAAAAGATAACACACATTTTAAATGATATTAACTTTGTGGCAGAACCTGGTAAGGTTGTTGCTATACTTGGACCTAGTGGAAGTGGTAAAACATCATTATTAAATATTTTAGCGGGGAGAATCAAATCTAAGGGTCAAAGATTAATTGGTGGTCAAATATATATTAATGGGAAGAAAGTAACTAATAGTGAATTACGTAGTTGTAGTAATTTTGTTATGCAGAATGAAGTAATGTTACCATATTTAACGGTGCAAGAGACATTGAATTTATCTGCTCAACTCAGACTACCAAATTGTACAGCCCATGAAAGACATGAAAGAATCAATTTAATTATATCAGATCTTGGTTTGTCACATTGTAGGAATAAAATTGTAGGAGATAATGAAATAAAATCATTATCAGGTGGAGAAAGAAGAAGAGTTGCATTAGCTATTGAATTAATAAGTGATCCATATCTATTATTTATAGATGAACCAACTAGTGGTCTTGATGCCTTCCTTTCACTTCAAATTCTACAATTATTATTAAAATTAGCTAAATCAGGACGTACAATTGTATGCAGTGTTCATCAACCACGTTCTCAAATTTTCCAATCATTTAATGAAATATTACTACTTTCCAAAGGTGAATCAATATTTTATGGATCTGTAAAAGATTGTATTGATTTTTTTGAAATAAATAATTATACTGTGCCACAAAATTATAATCCTTCAGATTACTTTTTGGATCTACTTGTTCCTAAATCTACAGTAAATAGACACTTTTCAAATACTCGTAATGATTTTATAACTTATGAAAATCTTAGAATACTCTCAAAAAAGTTTTCATCTTCTGAATATTCTAATAAAGTCTTAAGTAACATTGATTGGCAAATAAATTCTCAACTTCAACCATGGAAACCTGCTTTAATATTTAATAAACATACTAAAGGATTTTTTAATAATCTATTAAGACCTTTTTATGTTTTATCAATTATATTTAAAAGAACTTTTATAAATCATTCAAGAAATTTCTTAGGATCATTTACTTTGAATAGTTGTATCAATATTATAACTGCACTTATTGTGGGTGGAATTTTTTTTCAACTTCCCGTTTATGGTGATTCATCAATACATGCAATAACTAATGTATATAATATTGTTGGTGCATTATTTTTTATCTTATCATTTTCATCTTTTAATTCTCTTATGTGTTTAGAATCTATTTCAAAATATAGAATAATATTTAATAGAGAAAGAGCAAATGGACTTTATGGTACAATGGAATTTATGATTGCAAAGGAACTTGGAGATTTCATCTTTTATTTCATTCCTCCACTATTTTTTAGTGTTATTTATTTTTTTATGACTGGTGCAGGTAATGTCTCATATAATAATTGGACAATGGTGCAACAATTTTTTGTATACCAGGTGATTGTACAATGTATTATATGGGCATCTATTGGAATTAGCTATTTTATTAGTTCTCTAACTACATCCTTAGAATTAGCTCAAGGAATTGCCCCAATTATTATGGTTTTGATGATGGTTGTTAGTGGATTTTATTTAACTACTAATAGAATTTCAGTATGGATATCTTGGTTCCAATATTTATCATTTGTAAAATTTGGATATGTTGCACTTTTATTAAATAGTTTTCCACCAAATAATCAATGGGGACCATTAACTACAAACGAAATACTTTATCAATTATCAATATCTGATACTTCAATAGGTACTAATATAGGAATTATTATTGGATTAGGATTTGCCTATCGTTTCTTAGCATTTATTATATTTAGTAATATATATAAAAGTGTTGGTTTAGAATAAATTTCTTAGGTTTTAGAATATTTATGTAATATATATTAATTAGTTTAGAAATATTTCAAATATAAAACATTATATATGTTTAATACAATATGTCTAAGGATTTATCAACAACTAAATTGATATATTTCTTATTTCTCTATTAATGTATAATTTTATTATTTTAATAAGCTATTATATGATAAAGTATAGATATAATCATATAATTGGCTTTTAATCTATCAAAAATATTATAAGTCAATTCATTACTTTTTATCTAAATGAGACATGATGCAATTAACTAAAGTATTACTACTTTAAACTAATGATATTTTAACTAAATATTTTATTTAATTAGATATTATAATTACTTTTAATATTCACTTTATTTTTACTTTCAATATATCTTGTTTTTTTTTCTTATAAATAAATTTTTATAAATCAATTATAGTATATAATTAAAAACATTAAAAAGGGATATTTGTATTTTTTTTCAACATTATTAATAACTAATAAATATATAATTATAGTTACAAATTACCAATAATATAAATATTTTCTAATGTAAAATTTAATCAATTTATAATTATTTTATCTCATATATTATATTTATATTTTAATTAACTTCTATTATAATATTATAGAATATTTTACCTTTATATTAGAAAATATCACTAATACAACTCAGTTAATAATAAATGTTTATATTAATTTAAATAAGATCTATATTAAAAGCTATAAATATTGTATATTTCTAAGAATAAGTAATGTAAATTAAATATTATTATTAAATAAAAAAATTCTCAAATAAAAAATTCTAATCTCTTTTATATATATTATATTATCCTTATTTCTTTAATATAAAATATTTTAAAAATCTATTAGTAATATAATTAATCATAAAAAATAATAATTTATGTATAATTGATAATAGATTATTCAGATTTTAATAATATTAAATATTAAAAATATACTAATATCTACTACAAAAAAAAAGGAATTTCTATTTTATTTTTTTTTAAAGGATATAAAAAAGTATAATGCATAAGATACAGTATTATAATTTGATGGTGAAATAAATAATAAAAGAATATTTTATTATGATTAGCTAAATATATTTTGTATTTCAATTAATTAAATTTTATTTAATAATAGGTTCTTTTTATTTTCTTTTATATATATATTTTCAATAGAAAAACATTTGATATATAGGTACAAAATATATACAATGGTATCTACTCATTGAATTTATTTTATATTTTATAAGATATCTATTTTAAATAATATTAAATATATTTTTAAGAATACAAAATATATTAGATAAAATTAGTACTTATGCTCATTATTAACAGAGAATATGAAATATATTTAATATTTACAAAAATTAACAGAATCATTAAAATATCTTACAAAGAATTTATAATACATAGATAATTATATTAAGTACTATTTATTAGTTTTTATTTTTTTTAATAAAATAAGTAAATATAATTTCTAAAATTTCATATTCTTATAAATAAAAAATACTTATACATTCTTTTAAAACTAATAATTTAGAAAAAAATTTAAAATATTAAATTATATCTTTAGGATTTAATATTATTAAAAAAAGTTTAATATAATAAATTTATTTTAAAAATTTAAATAAAGTTTTAAGTAATTTTTAATAAAATGAAAATAAAAATAAATTCTATAATACATCTTTAGAGATATTCTTTTCAGTATTATATTTCATATAATTAGTTAAGAATAAAAAAAAAAGATTAGCTATTATATTAGATAAATGAATTTTTAATCTTAATTGTATATCTAAAAACCTTAATATTATTATTATATTAGTTAGAATAATTCAAACTATATAAATTAATTTTTATATTATTTCTTAAGAAATCTAAAAATATCTTTATATATTTAATTATTAGATCTAATCTAATAATACTATAAAGAAGGTACCGAATATAATATTACTTATATAATTAAAAGTATTTGAATAAAGGACATTTAATTTATAAAAATTTTAATAAGATATTGGAATAATAATTAATTGAAGTAGTTATTAGATATTTAAATATATTTATAGATTCTTTTTCTTTTTTATAGATTAGAAAATCAGTTATCTATTCAATACTACTATTATTTTTAGATTTAATACCTAGATACAACAAAATCACAATTTTATCTATATATGAACTCACTTTATCATATTTACAATAAAAATAAAATTTATATAAAGATATAAATACTTGTCTTTTTTGATTATTAAGGAATTGAAAATATATTTAAGAAAAAGTTTATATATATACAAAATAAAAATAATATTAAAAATATTTAATACAATTTACATTCATACGAAATTTTGGGAGATTTATATTAATATAAATTTATGTGATTAAATATATTACTTGAATATTAAGACATAGTATATATTTTTAATAATATAGGGTTATATTTGATTAAATAAAGAGAAAAAAAAATTGTTTAATATATTATTAAAAGATTAATAGTATTTATATAAAATGAACTTTTAATATTTATAATTACAAGTTTATAATTTAGATAAATTTAATAAAGATTTCATATAAAATCAAAATAAAGCAAAAAACAAAAAAGATTAAAAATTACTTTTTTTTTTTTTTTTCTATAGATTTATCTTAAAATCTACTAATTTATTTTGGTTAAAGCTAATACTAGATTATTATTTATATTGTCATATATTCATTATGGTTATTTCAAAAAGTTGATCAATTAATTTAAATATTTTCAATTGATTATTAAATAGTATTATATATAATACTATTTTAAAAAGGTTTTAAATAAATTAAAGAACAAAAAAATTCATATTTTTTATTGGATATATATATTGGTGGAATAAATTAAATTATTTAATTTAATACTTTGTTAAAAATTTTAAAATATATTTCAACATTTGAAAACTAACAAATATAAATAATATATCATTTTTATTATAAATGAAATAGCCATTATTTGGGATATGATCTCGTAATATTCAACTATAAATTATTTAAATATTATATTTTTTATAGGTACAGATTTTTTTTCATTTAGAAATATAAATTTCTAAAAATAAAGAGAAATTATTATGGATCATTGACAATATAAATTTAAATTTTATTTTTTTAGTTTTAGTAATATTTAAAAAAGGAGATATTGGATAAATATATTGAACTTTATAAATAATATTTGATATTAAATTATTTTTTTTATTATTGGGTAGTAACAAAAAGATCACTTTATAAAAAAAATTTTAGTAATTGTTTTAAATATAAAATATTTTAATTTAAGAAAAGAAGAAAGTGTTATTATATTTAATAATTAAAGAAAAATATATAATAATAAATATAATTATATATTAGTAAATAATATTAATACAATATTTCTAAATAAATTTAGGAAAATAAATTATAATTAATTTTATGGATATTTATATTAATTTAATTAAGATAATCAAATTAATAATATTATTTTATATTATTTGGTTTAATGAAATTTATTAAAAATATTTATTTTAAAAAAGAGAATTACAATTTTATATATTAATGATTAGTTTATTTTTGAATAGTTAAAATTTAATTACTCAAATGGATAATTTTGAAATTAGATAACATACTAATGGATAACTAAATTTGATCAATATTTTAATGATTCCAAATATAAGAATTAAGGTATTATACAAATACAAATAAATATTAAAATATAAATATATCTAAACATTATTTTCAGTAAACTTTTATTTATAAAATTTGGAAATTTTATAATTATAGTTTTGTGATAAAAATTAAAAACAATATTATTTTAGAAGTTTAAGATAAATATCACAATATATAATATTGAAATTTAAGTTTTACCATAATCATATTCAATATATTAAGTTGTTACTAACTACTAATAGTTTTGGAAATCTAATGGATAATAGAAGATTATTACATAAAAATTTTGATTACATCTTTTAAATACTTATGATTATATTCAATTTTATATATAGAAGCTTTCTTTTTTTTTTCAACTAAAATTTTTATTAATAATTAAAATTGGTTTAAAGTTTAAAAGAATGATTATATTTCAACATTATTTTTTTAGTAATATCAATAACATCAAACATATATATTATAATAAAATTGGATTTAAAGAGCATTTTAATTTAATAAATTTTCCTAAATTAATTATTTATTAAAATATTTTATTAATGAAATGAAGGGATTTAAGATTATAAATAAACCACAAATTAAATATATTTTATTTAATGTTTATATTTATTCAAGATTAGATTAAAGGAATTAATGGAAAAAAAAGTGATATTGATAGTTTAGAAAATTCTCCAAAAAAAATCATAATATTATGGGTATCTTTATTATAAACGCAAATAATTTTTTCTTTTTATAAGTCCAGAATATAATTGAATATTTCATTTATATAAAATCATATATATTTTGATCATTTAATATTTTTATTTTATAAAGAATAAATTTGGTAATATAAAATATAATATATATATTTATTATAAGGTAATGAAAACAATTTATAATATAAAGAATATTATTTCTTATATATTAAAATATGTAATCATAGTATATTATTAAAGTTGCAAGGTAATAAATTATATTAGTATTAGTATTAGCTAATACTAAAAAGTTAATTTAATAATAATTTGACATTTAATAATAAAATATTACAATATTATAATCGAATTTTACAATATTTTATATCATCTAGAAAATATAATTTTGAGAGCTATATTAAATTATAAATATTTTAGTGACAAGTTTTGATTTTAATTTAGAATAAATTTGTCAATAAAAATATAAAATATTTGTATATTTAAAGAACTATATATATTTGACATCATAATTAATAAAGTAGTTTAATACAATATTAAATAATAACATTTTTATTAAAATATATTGTTGAAATATAATTATTGGATTATCTAGTAAAGATAAAGATAAAGTTACAAACAATTAAATGTATTTTACTTTTTTTCATTATCAAATAATTACAAGATATATATTATAAATAATATAATTGGAAATAATATAATTAAATATTTAAATATCTTAGTATTTTTATTATATTTTAAAATGATTTTATAATAGTGGAATAATTATATATTGTTTTGTTGTTTTATAATAAAAAAGTGTAGCATAAAAAGTAAATAAAAAGGTACTTCATTTTATTTATGATTTTCTTTTTTATTGACTTGTCTCTTTTTTTTCTTTTACATATAGTAGGCCTTATTAGAATTACTACTTCATTATCAGTAGTATAATTTTACAAGTTTTTTTATTATTATATATTATATTTATTGCAATATTTTAGATATACTATACTGGTATTATAATTAGCTAAATTAATTTCATTTCATTTTAAAATATAATTATTTATAAATTAATAGTTTAATTTAAAATTTATATTTATTTGTAAAAAAAAAAGATTAATGATAAATAATTCAATATTAATTAGCATAAATATTAATTATCCCATAATTTCTTATAAATATCTATATTATTTAAAAATATTAATAAAAGAATTTCTTTTATTTATATTTATTCTACATTTCTTATATATTGTGTTAATCTTAATTGTTGCTGTAAAGCTCTTAGTTGTTGATTCATATCCCTAATTTTTTGGTTTAATAATTCTATTTGTGAGTCTAATTCTTACATTTTTCTTCTATAAATTGATCGTCTAATTCTACTAAGTCTACTAAGAAATCTATATTAACTAAATGAAGTTGATAATATACTTTAATATTTAGGTTATCGTTTGAATGATCATTAAGAATGTTAAAATTAAATAGAATAAATAGACAAATGATAAATATATAATAATAATAATCTATTCCATCTTATTAAATATGTATACAATATATATGATTTGATTTTGATTTGTTGGATTTAGATATTTTCTGATTTGTGATAATAATATGGTTATGTTTTGGGTAGATAAGTAATATATTATAACTAAGAATAATAAACATTAAATAAATTTGATTTATTTATTTAATATTGAATACCAAACATAGATATTAATGAATTAATTTTTGTTTTGAATGATTTATAAATATCTCATTATATTTATAATAATATTGAATATAATTATTAATAATTATTTAAAAAACAAATATCCTCAGGAAATAATTTTGATTATTTCAATTTGATTATTAAATTTAATTTTTATATCTAATAAATATTTATATACAAAAAAGTTAAAGTTATAGTTAAATAATATCTTTGAAAATATCTGATTACAATATATAAAGTGATATATTTTAAAGTATCTTTTTTAATCCGTCATTTAACATGATCATACTTAAGATATACTTAAGATCTAATATTAAAATCACTCACAATTAGCTATTAAATATTTAGAATTCTTAAACTAATTAAATAACACTTTTACATTGTGATTTATTATTTATTTTGACAATTCTTATATTAATTCTGTTAAATTATGACTAATCCTAATAGTAAGTGAACAATAGATGATTTATCATAACATTAAAGCATTAAGCTTTTAAGATAAAGTATCTGATATTCATGAAGAAAATTTAAAAAAGATATTTTAAGAAAATACTAAAATTAGTGAAAAAAAGAAATCTAGAATTTTAGAAGTTTTTAGTCAAAAAGATGAATATTTATGACTTAAAGTTTACAAATTTAAGAAAAGAATTAGGAATTAGATATTAGTAAGGTTCTTTAGATAGAAAGTTCTAAAGGAGATTATTCATAATTAATTATTAATAGAAATTGAAGATTCGAAAGTAGAATATGAATTGAATACGAGATTGATGAAATTTTTACTGTTACTTTTTTTTTTTTTTTTTTTTTTCAAAAAGAACTGAAAATTCATGATTAAAATAATAAAATTTGTATTCATTATTAAAGTTATATCAACTTAATTAGTTTGTTTGCTAGGCAATAATAATTATTCATATAATTACTATTATATATAATGACTAAAATGTCAAAATTTTTTATTAAATATTTGAATTTTTGAATTAATGCTTGCATACTTTTTTTTTAAAGTTTATTATCTAATTTAATTATATTCTCTTTTATTTTAGGTTTATGTATCTTGTTTCATAATACTAGGCTGAATAATATTAATAATAGTAGATATTAAATAATAACTTATTTGGTTAAATATTCGGATTATAATGATTGATAAGTATATATAATAATATTTAGTGATATAATTGATATATATAGTTTATAAATAATTTAAAAACCACATTAACAAGAAATAATGTAAAAATTTAGGATCTGATTTCATAATAATTCAATTATAATTAATAGTATGAGTAAAATATATAGGAATATTGATTAGATGAATGAGTAGAAATACTGATTAAATATATTGATATTTTATATAACTTATGTAATTTGAAAATGAGTAAAATGTTGTAAATAACCTATGACTTAGGATATCCTAAAAAAAAAGTTTTAATATTGAATTGAGAATATAATTTAATTTGAGGTTTATAATTTGATAAAATAGTTTGTGTTAAATAAGTATTTAGGATTTATTATTAATAATTAAATAATTAGGAAAATTAATGTTATATACGAATTTGATAATTTTTTTATTAATTTTAACATGATTTAATCTTCAACTAATGAAATAATGTGTAACAAAAGTGATTATAAGTATAGGTATTAAACTATAATCACTAATTAATATTTTAATTAATTTGAAAATTTTAGTTTTAATTGTATTATTTTTGATTATTCTTGTAATTTCTGTAAAGCTAATAATAATACAGAATATTATAGAATTATAAAGGAATCAAAGAACAATTATATATTTTATATAAAAAAAGTGACATATTTAAGAAATTATTACAAAATTAATTTAATAAGATAAAATTTTCAGATAATGAAAGATAATTACACTTTAAAATTGTATTTCAGGAAAAAAAGGTGATAAATACAACAGAACAATGATTACATTAAGAATAAAGTCTGGAGAATTGAGTGAAAAATGACTACATCTTAATTATCTGTTATATAAGTTAGATTGATACTAGATTATATAGGATTGGTTTAATAATATAATAAGATATTTGATTAATTAATTAGAAACTGACTAATTAAGCGTACACTAATATTATTTTTAATCAAATTATACAAAAGTACTCAGCAATTTTTACACAAAAATAACATTCTGAATTTTTCCCAAAGAGAATATAAAAAAGATTTTGAAGATTGATCTTTCTGATTAGGTAATTCTGATGGTTCACCAGTTTGTGGTTGTTCAATTGGTTTAGTATCAGATGTAGATGGTTCACCAGTTTGTGGTTGTTCAATTGGTTTAGTATCAGATGTAGATGGTTCACCAGTTTGTGGTTGTTCAGTTGGTTTAGTATCAGGTATAGATGAACCATCAGCTAATTTTGTAGTTGATCCACCATATTTCATTCTATCTTTAACAAAGATAATGACCTCATCTAAATCTTTGTTAAAGGAAACTTTATATCCCCATGGAGAATTAGTATAATATCTAATATAAGTATCAGAAAAAAGGCCATTAGGTATATAGAAGGTATTACCATTTGATGCATATATCATACCAATTGATATATTAATAGTATAATTCATATTAGGTGGAAGTACAACTCCTATAAAAAGATTGGATGAAGTAAAAATAATACCTTGAGGTCTATTATTAAGAGATATTTGAACTGAAGGCTCACCTCCAGAAAAATCTTTAATTAGAAATTCTTCATTATATTCAGTGAATAATGATTTTATTTTTTCAACTTTAATATTTTTTGGATATATTGTTGATGAAATATAATTCCAACTAGAAGGTGGTGTAACTATATGCCAAGATTGAACTTCTTTATCACTTATTGATCTCACTCGTCGTAATTCATCTGTTAGATAGCAATCATAAAAGAAATAATGCCAAAATCTCGACTCAGGAGATTTCCCTGAAGATTTCAATGTAAGAGTGTTGAATAAAAAAGTAAAGTCTCCATGAGTTACTACAGCATCACCATTAGTAGATTCAATTAGGAAATGAGCCCTTTTTAAGGCACCAAAAACACATATATATCTCCTATTAGTTGCATATAGCATAATTCTAGTATCATTATGCGTAGATCTATAGTAATACGAACCAGATAATATATACTTGTCCAATAAACCCCCACTATATACAGCTAATATAAGAAGTTTACCAAGATCATCAGACACCAGTGGTAGAGCGGATGAAGAATGTATAACACCTTTACCAGGACCCCCTAATTGTTGTATATTACCTTGGAAATCTAAAGAGACAGTAGTTTCACTATCTATACAATATATTGATGTAAGGAGATGACATAATATAATGTTAAGGAAAAAATAAAAGCTGAAATAATTAAATACTGACGTCATTAAATAATAAAAAATATATAATAAATTATACACGAAAGAAAAAAGATAAAATAAAGGCAAGGTTGACAAATTTAAAAACAACTGGATATGAAAATGTAGAAATTGCGGGTAATTTACAAAATATTGGATAATATAGAAATACATAAGGCGGTATAGAAGGATTTAGTATAGTAGAATTTAGGGAGCGGGCTTAGGGGG